CCTGGGGGACTGCACCTGCCTCTCCCTCCGCTCTCGCTGCCCCGGCTGAGGGCTCTCTCAGTGATACTTGCTTCTTGATATGGCCTTGAACGCGCCTGTGTTGGCGGCGGAATCCTGTGCTAAGAGTCGGGGGATTGCGTGCCTCCCGATTCTGCTCCGCCTGTTTCTCTGCTTAAGTCCCCACCAGGACGCCCCCACACCTCCAGCCGGAAGGATGGACTCCACGAGAACCTCCACAGCGAGGGCTTCAGCCCCCTGTCCCTCTGCTCTGGGTCACGAGGGCCCGAGGGCCCGACCGGGAGGGGCAGTTTGGCCCACGCACACTGAGAGCAAGGGAGCCCGGAGCCATGAGCTCTATCCTCGCCCTGGGAGAGGGGCTGCGGGGTGCACTTACTGGCCTGACAAGTGACGAGTCGGTGGACTCTCCAGGGACCCTGGTGTCCAGACCTCAGAGGAACACGGACCGGAAACCGCGGGGCTGAGGAGAAGCCGGTGGCTCAGTGGCACCTTGATGCCCTCGACACCGGGAGCAGCCTGCACCAAGGGGCAGTGGGCTAGCTCGGGCCTTGGCCTGCCCATGCCTCGCTTTTCCACGCAAATGCAAGTGACAGCTGTGGCCTGGACAGGGCACCCCGCCCTCCTGGGAAAGGGCCCAGGTAGGAGCGTGCACGAATGAGGCCACTGCAGACCCCACCGCCGGCTCGGCGAGAGCCTGACTGGCGTCGGCCCGTGGCGCCATGGAGGCTGAGGGCCCCTTCCCGGCCACAGGGTGGGAGCTGGGCGTTGCTCTGGACGGTCGCACTGAGCTCTGCGGCCACTGGTTGGGGTCAGACGTGCATTTCAGACAGAGTGGTCCCTAGGCACGCTCAGGTCACCCCCACCTCCCCTTGGACCGCCCGCCCGGCCTTCCTGCCCCAGGTCTCTCCTGCTCCCCAGCCACAGGCAGCCACTCTCCTGAGGCCCCTCAGTCCCTTCCCAGACTCCCGGGCGGGCTCCGAGGGACAGGCTCTCCAGCTTCAACTTGGTCTCGCTCCCTTTGTGGGCTCATGAGACTCAGTCACACCCCCACCTCAGGCCCAGCACAGGGGCTGCACAGTGGCCCTAAGCATCATTACAAATATCCTCTTCCCTCCTAAACCATCCCCTCCATCTTCGGGCTAACCCACGCCTCTGCGCAAACACCGCTTCCTCCAGGAAGGCCCTGCTCCCGGCACCCACCACGTGCCGTCAAGGCCAGTGTCACACTTCGTTGATCACTTGTCTTACCTCTGGGAGCCTAAGTCCCTCGGGGCAGCATGTCTGCCCTCATACTGATGCCCAGCACAGTGCGTGGCGCACGGATGGATGACCCTAAAACACGAATGTCTTCCGGCTCCTTCTCTCATGTCCACAGCCCACACCCCCGCCGGCGTGTCTGCCCCCCCGTCCCCCCAGGTACCAGTGCCCGAGGAACACTCACTACTTCTGCAGTTAGTTCCTTGAGGTCTAGGCTTGAGGAGGTGGCCGAAGGGCTGACCGGCCACCTGGCCTCTGGCTGGGGAAGTGTGGACTTCGCTGCCCTGTGACCAGCTCTCACCTTTGGGAAGGGCCATGGTCAGTCACCGGACCATGCTGTGATCCACCCTCAGCAACGTGCTCACCGTAACGTGGCCAGCCTCTGCTCTCCCCTCGGGCTCTCCTTCCAGCCTGGCCCGCCCAGGCAATGCCCTGCTCCGCAGCCACGGGGACAGAAAATACAAACCGGACTGGCACTCCCGTCCCTCACAGCCCCTCTGCCCTTGGTAACTTCCACACAGGGTGGAAGGCTCACCTGCTCCCACGGCCGCCTCCCCTCTGCTTCCTCACCGCCTCGCCCCGCAGCGGCTGCACCAGCTGTCCTTCTCTCGGCGGAGGCGCCACCTCCCCTCCGTGTGGTCCCATTGCTCCCCCTCTGCACACCTGCCTCCTGGTGCTCGTCGGAAGCTCCCTGGGCGTGGAGGCCACGTTTGTCTGGCACAGGTTGGCTCTCCAGGTCGGCCCGCGCAGGGCAGACTAAGCCCGCAGTGATCACCTGGGGGACGCCTAGCAGTTGCTGGTGAGACCTGGCTTCGACTCCGGGGTCCTTGTGTGAAAACGAACTGCTGAGCGTCCAGCATGAAACGGCAGCCAGGGCTTACATGTGATTTACTTGTGTGCACAAGCTGAACTCATACACAACCAGAGAGCGCACACACCCCCTGATGCACCTGTGTGCTTCCAAAGACGTATTTGGCTCAAACATACCTGCACGTGCCATTTGCGATGATCTCCATGTAATTAGTGTGGGCAAGCCCTGCGAGGAAGAGGACGTCTGCCTGCACTGCCCACGATGTTGAGCTCAGTAAAAACATACATTTTTTAAAACGCAGGACACAGCCAGCAAGCAATTCCATCATTGGGATGGCTCCGGGCACCCCGCGCTGGTGGTTTTAAAAATGTATGTTTTTATTGAGTTCAGAGCAGAAGGGAGAGATAAACATCAATGATGAGAGAGTATTGATGGGCTGCCTCCTGCACACCCTCCACTGGAGATTGAGCCCACAACCCAGGCATGTGCCCTGACCGGGAATCGAACCGTGACCCCCTCATTCATAGGTCGATGCTCAACCACTGAGCCACACAGGTCGGGCTGAACAACATTCTTAAGATAACGAGGGTATGGCTTGCATTTCAGAATCAGCGATAACAGAACACGAGTTACATTCCGGGAGGATGTTCACCATGGACCTTCCCAGCCCCCAGGCACCAGTCCCAGCTTCCTGAGCGTGAGCCTGGGCAGCACGGAGGCGGGTCTCCAAGGAGCTGCAGGGGCTGGACCGTGGACAGCAGGCTCCCTGGAGAAGGAGCTCAACACCGTGGGCAGTGCAGGCAGACATCCTCTTCCTCGCAGGGCTTGCCCCACACTAACGGGGGCCCGGCAAAGGTCAGGCATGGACGGTGTATGAGGGCGAGAGTGAGCCTTCAGCAAATATGAATTTAAGATATTCTCCATGTAATTAATGTAGGGAGTAGTTGGGCACAGGCAACTGTTAGAGGAAACACGGCATTGCCCTTCTCAAGTTAAACTCACGGAGTGAATTCATAGTGGAAGGAGGCCAGTGCATGCTGGGACAGGTCACGCAGGACATGCCCAGCAAGCAATTCCATCAATGGGATGCTCCGGGCACCCAGCACTGCCAGCGTGCTCCATACTCCCCAGAGGAAAAGGCCAAACCTGGGCCACGGGAGGGGCTCTCACCGAGCAGCGTCCAGTCTGTTGTCCTCCCTTTGCTCCACTTGCCCATCAGCTCTTCCCCAGTGTTCATCCCGGGAAAGTGCCTCCAGGCCCCGGGAAACGGAACCCGCAGGGAGCAGCAGCTCTGACTTCTGCACGAGGCCGCGGGGCAGTGGGTCAGCCACCAGGCCCACGTGTCTCTAGGCGGGTAAGAAAGGGTGTCAGGACTGGCAAGAGCAAAGGAAGGGCCTCACCCATGGAACATTCACTGAGAGAACAGCCAGGCGGAAAGTCTCTGGGGCACCTGGTGGCCGGTGTCGCTGCTGTGACCTGGTTCTCTATTCCTTCAAACATCTCCAGCCGGTGAGACCAGGTGGCCCAGGCGGTGAGACCCAGGTGGCCCAGGCAGTGAGACCCAGGGGGCCCAGCCGGTCTCTGGGGCACCTGGTGGCCGGTGTCGCTGCTGTGACCTGGTTCTCTATTCCTTCAAACATCTCCAGCCGGTGAGACCAGGTGGCCCAGGCGGTGAGACCCAGGTGGCCCAGCCACAGGAGACCCAGGTGGCCCAGCCAGTGAGACCAGGTGGCCCAGGCGGTGAGACCCAGGTGGCCCAGCCACAGTGAGACCAGGTGGCCCAGCCAGTGAGACCAGGTGGCCCAGCCACAGTTCTTTGGTTAAGTGAACACACATACACACACCAGGTTTCCCTCCAAGAACAATCAAGTTTTCATATAAACCATAGAATATATTTAATTCAAATTAAACATGAAACTAGAATAATGTCGGTCCTTATCAAGTAGCAATTACATTGTTTTTAAAGAACAGTACATTTCTTTCTACATCCTGGCAATCCAACAAGGCACAGTGCATCCAGTTGGCCGAGGTGGCGGATCCAGCAGCCACCATCGACGCTCATGGTGAGGGTTGAGACAGGCCGCACTTCATGCCAAGAGAAGGTCCAAGGAGCGGGAGGAGGCCAGTTGCATAGTGAACGTGTTATTAAAGGGACAGTACGCGCTGCTTCTGCTTCACCCCGAGTGGCCGCCAGGGCCGCACTGATGAAGTGAGGAGCGCGGCAAGAGCGCTGCCTCCTCTGGGCTTGCCTGGTTTGTTTGGCGTGATGGCTTTCCCACGTAAAGAAAGCCAAGTTCCTCGAGACACAGGTCATTCAGCTTCCGTGGCAGCACTGCGCTGGCTGACAGGCGAAGTCCTGCGGGCCAGGTCCTCTGCCTGCCGCGAAAGCTGCTCACTGTTTGGTCTGCAGAGATCCGCCCGCTGCCCTGTTCCCTCTCAGGGAGGAAGAGCCGCGGCGGGGCCTTCTTCACAGGGCGGTGCTTTCTGTATCAGTGTCCATGTCCAACAAGAGGCGGCCGGGCACGTCTTTGCTGTCTGAGTCTGAGGGCAGGTCAGGAAAGACGCTGCGAAGCGGCTCTGACACCCTCGAGTTGGCGTCTGGACAAAAACACGAGACGTGGTATCAGTGCATGGCCACACCTCAGAGGCCACCCCAGGGGCCCCGAGCAGCTGAGCCAGCCCCTGCACACACATTCCCTTACTAGAGGCACCATGAGCCCCGAGAAGTTGAGTCAAGCCTCTGAGACCCAGGGGCAGCTGCGTGGCAGAGCCCACTCCCGCCTGCCGGCCCTCTGGGAGCCCGTGGCAGCCCTCGGTGCCACCTCACAAATTCGCTTTCTAAGGGAGGAAGGAAACTTCTCTCTCACCAGCACCTCTGGCACTACCAGAGGCCTCCTGAGCACACCTGGGCTGCAGGGCTGCGGGAAGAGGCACCCGGGAGGCCGGGTTTCCTACTGGTAATGCTACTCCCTTAACCTCAGCATGGGTGGCACTTGTGGGGCTGTGCTGTGCCCTGCAGGCTGTTCAGCAGTATCCCTGCCTTCTACCCACTGGATGCGGGTAGCACACAGCAACCCCCCTGACCCCCCGCCCCCCTGCAACCAGAGAGGGCTCTAGGTACTGCCAAGTGTCCCTTGGGGGCACAATTACCCCTGGTTGACAATTACTAAGGGAGATCACAAATCTCCTGCAAGTATTAATGTTCTGTTTCTAGAATTTACATTTCCACTTTTTTCATGTCTTATGTTGGCAGGAACTCCTTTACCAACATGGCACATACATGGCTTCCTCAAGCCACTGCCCCTCACTCCCATGCTCACAAGATACCTCGACCAATCACAGCCCTCTTCCTAGCGAGGTGATGTGTCTCCATTCACTCACGCACAAATACTAGTACTTACTGAGCACCTGCCATGGCCAGGCACCTCCCTACCTGTGAGGGCACAGCAGTGAGACACAACCCTAAGGAAGCCCTGGTCGAGCAGGGCCCTGACCAAGCAGAGGGATTGTCTTTCTGGGAGATGGGTTCTAGTAAAGGACAGAGCTCCATTAGAGGTTGTAGGGCTGGGGCAAGAGAGAAGGGAGTGTTCAGATGTGCTGCAGTTCCACTTTGCTGGTGAGAGCTAGTCGTATTGGGAGCAGGGAGAGAGCTAGAGGGAGGCGGTGTGCTGGGACCTCCCCGTGCGCTCCAGCGGCTTGCTGTCCTTGCTGTGGTGGCTTCACCAGCCCTGACCCTGCTGGGAGCTGCTCTGGGCGTACTTCTTCCACCTGCTCCTCACCCACAGGTAGGGCTGGCAATGCAGGTGCACTTCTGGGAGCCTCCCTGTTTTGAGACTGGTTCCTGCCTATCCCCCCGCCCCTCCATCCCCCCATGTCCCTATCGCCCTGAGCTGTAAAATCAGTTTACCTCCTGGGCTGTCCCTTTCCTCACATGGAATCCTGGGTTGGCAGACCTGTCCCTCAAGGTTTCCTATGCACCACACACAAGAGCAATTTCTAGCTTTATGAACGCGGCAAGGTGTCAGTGTTCAGGTGCTCAATGCCATTTCAACATGGTCTGATGGTCACTGCAAAACCAACTGGGTTGTCAGAACTGCATCCCCAATCGTACAGTCGAGGATGGTGAGGTGCACAGAAGAGGGGCTGTTTTGGATTGTCCTCAGAAGAAGGGAAGTCAGCAGGGCAGGGGCTGTGTCTATCTTGAGTCCACTGTGCCTCCAACAGTGACTGGGTAATAGCAGATGCTCAATAAATTGTGTGGCTGGCCAGTTGGATGGATGAATGAACAGATGGAGAAAGAACAAATGAATGGATGAAGACTCATCTAGCCCAACCATCTTTCCAATCCTCTCTTTCTATAGCCTCAGGTAAAGAAGTAGCCGTGCCTCAAAGGCAACGCTGGTACAAGAAATCCATTGCAAATTCACCCCCCTTTCCCGAGCCCAACAAGACAGGAACTATGGAGAGAGCATGCCCGGGGATGCACGATGCAAGGGGTGTGCGCGCTAATTAGGTTCCTGCCGGTTAACATCTGTGTTCACATGCAAACTCAACACCTACCAGCCACAGGTGTCTTCAGAGGACAAACGTGCTTTTTGGTTACAGCACACATCAATTCGGGATTGGAGCTTCTCTGAATGCCTCTAGCTATTCATGATGAACATCCATTACTATGTTCTCAGGAGTTCCTTTCCTCTCCTCCAGCCTGCACTGCCTGCTTAGCTGAGGTTGGCAGCTATGTCTCTTTCCCCAGCCCCTCTCTCACAGCAAACATTTCTTAAAAGAAAGCAACACATCTATTTACCCACAAAAAGCACGTGTGCAGCGCCACCTCCAGGAAGAGGCGGTCTCCGTGACAACGGCTGTCAGCAGCAGTGCCATCCCCAGGCACGGTGCTAAGCACACGCCACAGCTCCCACTGAGCCCCGGGCGGCTCTGGACCACCGTCCACATGAGGGAGGGACACTCTGAGTCTCAATCCTCGCCTGAGGTGACAAGGCCAGCGCGGGCAGGGCTTCGGAGCCAGGCGGGGTGGACTCTGAAGTCCATTTAGCCGCATAATGCACTCCTTCCTCCCCAAAGGAGTTTGTATGCTCTGTGGTGAGGCTCTGGAGAGAGGCTGAGTCTTAAACAGTCTGGTTCATTTTCGTAAGATGGTTATTTAGAAAACTGTAACATACTTCTAAACTTTCTGGCTCTTTATGTGCATTGAGCACAGGTTGCTTGGAGCCAAGTTCATATGGCAGATGTTACATTAACCAAACAAAACAAAAGGAGGAGCCTCGCTCAGCATGTGTCCCGTGCACCGCTGATGTGGCTCAGGCAGCACGTGTCCCGTGCACCACCGATCGGGGCTCTGGGGGCACGTGTCATGTGCATCCCTGATCCGGGGCTCAGGCAACTGCAACCAGGTCCCTTCCTTTCTATCATAATCAGGAAGCGGGCCTCTAGGGCCAGGACTGGCACTCTGCACTTTAGGGCCTGTCCCAGAAGACGTCTCTGTCACATCAACACTGTTCATTATGTACTGAGGCTGTAAGCCACCCTTCACATCTCTAGGTTACTCTGACAGCCACTTCGACAGGTAGCAAACCCAAACACATTCTAAATTAAACTATCAGGTCCACCACCCCTCCCCGCCGCTCGTCCCTCTCCGTCAACTGTGTCTGGGGGACGACTCCTTCCTCCTCTTCAGTGTCTAGGCCGGGAGAGGCCTTTCTGTCGGCAACAGCCTCAGGCCGCTTTTCCTCGTTTTAGCCAAAGGAGATTCAGTACCAGTCTCATTGGCTGTTCACTGCGACATGACTCTGGTATCTACTTATGAAAAATAAACTGCAAACAGAAACCACTTAAATGTCCAACTATAAGCAATAATACACCTGCTTAATAAAATATTATGTAGTCACCGAAAGGATGGTTATAAAAACTACATTACAACATAGGAAAGAGCACTGATGTCAAGTAAAATAAAAAGACAAGACCTGTATGTGCCAAATAATTATGACCATGTACTCTCTTACCTTTCAGGGGGAAAAAACGAGAAGGAAAAACAACAGAACGTGAACACTGGACTTCTTCAGTTGTAGAAGGGAGCAGGTTTCTTATTTCTAGGTCCCCAATCTGCTTCAATATCTATGCTTATTTTTTAATGCATTATTTTCATGACATAAAAATAGTTTAATTTTAATAAGAGGTCACCAAGAACCGGCAGTGTCGAGTTTTTAATGACCACTGAGCGAGCGACCTGTCCCACCGCCACCCAGCGGACGAGGGGCTCGCAAGACCCTCAGGCTCCTGAGGCTAAGGAGTGTCTTCCTCTCCCGGGCCTGTCTTTTAACCCACTGCACACGGAGCACCGGAATCACACTGTGGACACCTGGGCTCCAACCCCCTGTATCCGGGTCCTGGCAGGCTGGGCCAGGCAGGGACGTTTTAAAATGCTGACACGATGTAACTTTTTTCTAGATAAAAATGATACAGCTTCCATTTTTTTGGACCCACTGTGTATTAAGAACTGCAAGTGGTTTTTCTCATTTCATCAAATACAATCCCCTCGCCAATAATTCTCACAAATGCCACCACTTTCCAGACGACCCAGGCTGTGCCTGCTATTACGTAAGAGGGGCATGCAGACCCGCACGTCCGACTCAGCATGCGCTTCCTGCACCTCAGCCTTCCCGGGGCAGAGGAGCGGGCGGACCCTGCCACAGTCCGAGGCCAGCCTGTGACCCTGCCCACACTGTGCACACACTGTGCTCAGAGAATTAACAGCAAGCAGGAACACACAAAGCCAGCCTCCTTAGGTGCATGCAGTTAGTGGGGACACAAGCAGGCAGGGTTAGAGTAACTGGTTAGTAACAGGCATTAGTGCACAAATATGATCATAAAGTAGCAAAAATGCTTTGGCCAATCAGGTGCCTTTTCCTTACCATTAAATATTCCAATTTCAGTTCTGACTGATTATGGCAGGTCATACATCTAAATTGTTTAATAAAATGTTGAAGTTAGAACACTCGGCTAAAACCCCCTACTTTAAAACAGCAAGATGTGAACTCCTGTACGTGTGATGCTAACGTCCCCCTGCTGTTTAGAGTAACAACGAAGAGGAGACTCAGATGGCGCAGATCGCCCACCCAGGTGCCGCCCCGAGCGGCCAGCGGCTGGCCCACACCCAACAATCTCCCCCAAGAGCGTATCCGAACCCCAGCCTCCATTCAGCCGTTTAAGATTAGATGTTCTAAACCAACAATCCGTTTTCAGAAACGTGTCTGTGTAAAGCTTCCCAGGTGAGAACCGACGTCGTGATAAAGGACTGCCTGTCAGAGGAAGCGCCATTTTTCCTTGAAATACCCAACGCTGTGTCCGAGAACGGTTCACAGCAGCACGACCATGACCCATAATCTAAACACTGGTCTTGTGTGGGCTTCTAACCGCAGTCCAGGAACTTTAATACATTAGCAGTTAGTTCTGTAACACAGAGAGAACTGAGGTGACCTGGGATTTCTTAAGAGAATTTATAGCATAGATTGATTTTTAAACATTTAGCTAATAAAAAGAAAATTACTTTTACTAGAAATGTTTACTTATCGGATTATTGTAAAGTACAGAGCATTACAGTGTTGAAGCAGATCAAAAATAAAAAAAACCTCTGGAATAAACACTACCCAAGTAACAAAAAGGTATTAAAAAACAGACATAATTCTGGTTCATAGGCTTTCATCTAAATAAAAGGAAAAGTCTGGGAAATAAAAAATATATTTTTTAAAGGACTGGAGGGCGCCTGCTGGTCTCGAACCATCCTCGCGAGCAAGACTGGTTGGCACATGAAGGCTGGGCTCGAAGGAACCGCTGGGCTAAGTAAACAGAGCCTGCCCCGGAAACACATGCTGGAGTGTTCCAGGCACAGCCTCAGTTAGGGTGTAGTCACTCCACTCTGTGACTTGCACACTGGGCAGCCCCCGACTTTTGGGCTCATCTCCAAGGAGTCAGGAAGGCAGAACCACGCCTGTTCCCTCCTCCGTGTCTGACAGGGTGGGCTCCTGTTTCCCCACCTGGTGTCTCAGAAAGTCGTCTCACACCCGGACTGTGACAGTCTGGCTAAGCAACCCCCTGCAGGCTAAGGCTGGGTCCGCCGAGGAGAGCCACCCTACACTACAGCCTTACCCATCTGTGCGTGGGCCCAACGGCAAGATCCAGACCTCACAAGGCCTTTTAAAGCTCATGTGGTGGAAGAAAGCAAATGGAAGCACGCTAGAATGCAAAGGGACTTAGTGTGGGATTTTGGGAAGATGATTTTTTTTTTTGTTCCTGAAAATTTAAAACATTAAATTAAGAAGCTCCATGCAGTTAACTTGCACTTAAAATGAAATTTTATACAATTAAATATTAAAGCTCAAGACACACGGGACACATAGCCCATGCTGACTACACCCGAGCCCGCCCGGGCGGGACGTGACGAGCCGATCACTGACGGGCAAATCATGCCGGGGGAGCAGATGCTTCTGAAAGGCTTACCCAAGAGACACAGCCTCAGCATCTTATCGGAGCACCTGAACTCGGCTCTCAGCCTACTGACATCTACCCCCGGAACCCGAGCTCTGCAGCTCACAGAGCCTCTGATCAAAACACGTCCTGTCCCCCTGCTGCAGAGCGAGCGGCGCGGGCCAGGGCTGCTCCTGGGCACCAGCTCCAAAGCACACACACACAACACGGCTAGGCAGGGCAGCGGGCAAGCTGCTTGGGCGCTACCAACCTTAGTCCCGGGAGCCTTCCCCACCTGTGAGGGCATCTATTGGGAAACAACAAACCAGATGTGGCTTTATTTTTCTAAAACAGCAGAGGTGTCATCAGAAAAAAGTTCTTAACCATGCAAATTATACATTATAGTCCTGAAAAAAATGTTATCAAAAGATAGACTAGTTGGTTAACCCTCATTATATAGGGTACCAGTTTGGGGTGCCCTGGGTTCATTTTCAGCTGGGAAGTCACTCAGTATGGTTGGGGGGCCAGAGATATGTTCAGCTTCCTCTGTAAGAATAGCTCCACTAAAACAACAACAAAAAATAAGAAAAATAAAAATAGCTCCATTGAGAAAAATTTAAAACTCAGTTGTTATACAAAATTGAAGTTCCTAAAAACACATTTAAAGAAAAATCCATTCATCCTACCCTTAAAATCAAATAGTGAATCAAGTGCTTTGGGTGGAAGTTTTATTTTAAAACCGTAATTAAATAAGTCATGCTGTGGACTGCCTGTGAAGAATGTCCCTTGGGCAGCCCACTGCATCGGTGCGTCAGCACCACACCCGCAGGGTCCCAGGGACCTCGAGGACATCTTGCCTCTCCCGCTCCCTGGTGACCATGAAGTTCCCCCCCTGAGCATCCAGTTTGCACAAACCACGTGTTAAAGTTATTCCTGAGACGCTTCACCATGAACATGAGGAATTCACCGAAAAATGAAGCTCACGCTCGTGCAGTACAGGACCTGCCACCTGGATTAGGTCACTGTCCTCAAACGTACATGGAGGCAGGTCCTGAACACGCACTGAACTACCCATCAGGGCTCAGCAGACTTCCGGGCTCTGCACCGTGCGCCTCTCCAACGGCTCGGCTGCTCCAGCACAAGCGGGGAGACCACTGGGCGTGGCCCACACACAGGCTGGGCCGGGTTCGCACTAACCTGCTATAGACCAGCCTGCAGGAGAGGGTACAGGAGCCTGGTGCAAGTTCCTACTCACCCGTCACTATTTTGGAGGCAGTAGGCACTGCGCTGGAGAGGCTGCCATCCGCCGCTGGGTGGGCCCCAGGAGGGTGTGGGGGTGGGGGCACGCTGGGTCGGTTCCTGGGCTTCGGTACTGGTCTCGGTCTCGGTAAGGTCCCGGCATGTGGCTGCGCAGTCTCAGGGTGGCCCGCTGCAGGGTGCTGGGCGGCTGGCTTGGGGTGTGTGGGGGCTGCTCCAGTCCCTGCTCCCCCGGTCTGGCCTGTGACTGCGGCGCCTGCGTGGGGGGCTGCGGTGGAGGGTGACTGGGTGCCTGCATCGGAGCCAGGCTGCCTGAGGCTCTCCGGGGCCCACACAGCTGTGAGGTGGCGCACGGCTGCCCGGGGGCTGGGCCCGCGTGCGGGACAGGAGGAGACGGACTTCCAGTGGCTGGCTTCAGTGACAAGCTGGGTGCCTGCTGCGCTGTGCCTGGGGCACTCTGGCCCCCGGGCTGGCCAGGAGGTGGGTTTCCTGGTTTCGGGGGTGCTGGAGCAGGTTTCTTAACAGCTGCACAAAGAGGGAAACACCTTTCAGTAAGAACAGCACAGTGACAGCCAACTCCCCTGACCCAGGGACCAAGGGTGGCCTCACTGTTTAAGCCACGCTGATGTCGCTGCTCCTAACAGGACGGATCGGGTGGCACTTTACCTCTGTGGTTTTCCTCCTGAAGCCCAGAGACCCCATCTCACCAAGAGAAAAACATGTGACAAATGCAAATTAAGGGACTTCAAAATGCCTGCCTAGCGCCCTCCCAAACTGCCTCGGCCATGAAAACTCCAGGGAAGACAGAGAAAGAGAGCAGAGGCCGTTACACAGACAGGATGACCGAGTGCCAGGTACCCTGGGCGGGAGCGAGCCTGGGACAGGAAATGGCCATCAGTGAAAAACTGGGGGCGTCTGAACAAAACAGGGACTTTAGTTGGTTTCCAAATGTGACCAATGAGGTAAGAAGTGAACACTGGGGAGTGGGAAAGGGCACACTTAGCCCTATTTTTGCAACTCTTCTATAAACTCTAAAATTATTCCAGAATAAAAAGGTTATTTTTAGGAAGTACACGACACATTTCTAGGCCTTTCAAGACCTGTCGCTTTACAGACTCAGCAGCCGCCCTGCCCACAGGAGCCGCTTCTCTAGCCACTCAGCGCCCCGTCAGTGCCTGCACTTGAAGGAGAGCAGGGAGGAAGGAAGCGAGCGAGCTAAGGGTGACCCCAAGCACGACTGTCTGATGCACACATCACAGACACTTGCTCTAAGTTCTCTTCCCCTAGATGGCTTCATTTTTTTTTAATAACAGAAATTCTACCAATTCCAGAATCATTTGAGCTACACGATAATTCTAGATACAAGTAAAATCCATCGGGCAGATGGCCTCAGAATTACTTCTCTAGGGGAGCTGAATCACACCCTCCCTCCTGGCACCAGCCAAGGTCAGCGTCACTAAGGCGTGGGAACTTGGTACTGAGGAGGGTGGGATGGAAAATGATGCTGTGGAGTCCTGGTTTGGGGCCGGGAGGGGTGGTGGAGAGGAGAGACTGAAGCATTTTTTCAAATTCTGCTGAGGTTCCACCAATCCTTCCCCATGGGAGAGGGAAATGAAGGAAGGAAATGACCTTGCATCGCTCACCTAACACATCACCAGCACCAAGACAGGCCCTTTGCATAACTGTCTCACCAAGTGTCACAAGCTCCCTGCAAGGCAGCACTGCTGTACCCATTTCACAGTGGAGAAAACCGAGGCCAAGTGTTTGCAAGAGGTCACACAGCTGCTCAGTGGCAGGATAGAGGCCCACCACCGTGTCCTTAGACTCTTCCTCTTTCTCATTCCTGTAGTGCCTGGCTCCCTGCTCAGGCCCAAATTCAGGAAGGAAAAGGACGGAGTTTGCACTCTCTGCTGTCCTGGAACTTTTGACCTGGAGACTCAGAAGACCTTCCCCTACAGAAATAACCAATCAGCTGACAAAGAAAGTTGGATCATTCCTGACATTTAAGGGTGCTGAAGGAATTGGAGCAGAAGTATGAGAGCAGCAGACAGGGCAATGGGTCCCAGTCCCACGTGGAGGCCAGACCGGAAGAAAGGCAGGCCTTGTCCAAGACCACCTGGAAGATGCTGGCAGGTGGGGACAGGGGTAAGGGAGGGCAGAAAGGATCAAGCTTCCTGTGAGGAAGCCTGCGGTCTGCGATTGCAGGGAGCAGGAGACGTAATACCCCTATGTGGCTCAGAAGTCAAGTCTCAATCTGCAAGCAGCGTCACCTGGAATCCAGGTAGAGAAGACTTCATTTTCCTCAAACATCAGCAGGACACAGATGAAGACGATGCGGCTCAGAAGAGAGAGAGACAGCTTTAAGGAGGATAGAGTGGGGTCTGTGACCAAGCCGCGTACCTGAATTTGTCTGTCTGCAACCTATAAAAGTTCCACCTAATACCCGTGCAGTGCTTTTTAATTTTTAATTTTATTTTATTCCTTTATTGTCTAAAGTTTTACGTAAGTCTCCTTTTTCCCCAACTGACCCCCCGCCACGTGTAGTGCTTTAGACAGACAATGCTTTCATAGGCAGACACATTACATTTAACCCCCACAATGTTCCCCTTAAGAAGGCATTTTTTTTTTTTTAAATATATTTTATTGAGTTTTTACAGAGAGGAAAGGAGAGAGAGATAGAGAGTTAGAAACATCGATGAGAGAGAAACATCGACCAGCTGCCTCCTGCACACTCCCCACTGGGGATGTGCCCACAACCAAGGTACATGCCCTTGACCGGAATCGAACCTGGGACCTTTCAGTCCGCAGGCTGACGCTCTATCCACTGAGCCAAACCGGTTTCGGCAAGAAGGCATTTTATTTCTAATTTACATTCGTAATAATTAAGTTAAGAAAGGTAAAATTGGCAGACTTTAACCAGCCATGTGAAATTAGGCAAAAGCTAGAACTCAGATTTTGAGCCTAAGGCCTTTTCCCACTGATCACAATGGCCTCTTATGAGCGGCATCAACCCATCCATGGGAAACTGTCCAGCTCTCCCGAGTCTGTCCCTTCCTGTGGCCACAGCATCCCTTGAGGTGTGGCCTCATCACTTGGTGGCATCCCTGCAATAATGTGCCTCCACTAGGGCCAGGTCAACCGTCTACAAACGCTGCTGCTGTACCCCCTCCACTCTCCTCAGAAGGACCCACTGCTCGGCCGTCCTTCCCGCGCCCTGGCACTAAGGACCCCCACTGCTGCCCGCCTGGCCTGCCCCCTCTGCTTGGCACTAGATCAGGGGTGGGGAAACTTTTTGACTCGAGGGCCACAATGGGTTCTTAAACTGGACCGGAGGGCGGGAACAAAAGCATGGATGGAGTGTTTGTGTGAACTAATATAAATTCAAAGTAAACATCATTACATAAAAGGGTACGGTCTTTTTTTTTTTTTTAGTTTTATTCATTTCAAACGGGCCGGATTCGGCCTGCGGGCCGTAGTTTGCCCACGGCTGCTCTAGACCCTGGGCAGCAGGAGCAGTGTCTCTGCTGTGTCCCATGGGAGTGGTTACCAGGGACATGCATTTATACATGAGCCTCAACAACAGGAGCGCAGCCAGAGAGAGAGAGAGAGAGAGAGAGAGAGAGAGAGAAGACCCAAATCAACGAGTGCATAGGAGGTGGGCTGTCGCCGCCCACACACTTCAGTGTGGGCATCCCTCATGCTGACATCGTTTCTGGTTCTCGCTGAACACACTTTTTAAATAGCACCCCCCTAAACTCAAGTCAACAATGGAAACCGAGCTCTGTTAGGCAGAAGCCTAGACACGCTGGTTTCCTGAGCCTGCCACCGGGACCCTCAGGAGATCCGAGGTTCTGCGCATGATTCCTGTCAGGCACTGGTCCAAGACCTGGCTCGAGCCGGAGATACGGCCTCCCTGTGTGCAGCTCACCTCAGTTCAGTGAGAGGTGTTTACCCAAAAGAAATGAAATCATCACCTCAAAGAAATACACTCCCATGTCCACTGCAGCACTAGTCATAGCCGCCTCTGTGTCCATCAGCAATGACTGGACAGAGAAAGTTGTCTATATGTGCAATGGAATATTCAGCTTTAAAAAGAAGGAAATTCTGCCATAATTGACAGCCTGGATGAAACTTAAGGACCCTATGCTAAGTGAAATAAGCCAGTGACAAAAGGACAAATACTACAAGATTCTGTTTGAGAAATCTAAAATAGTCAAATTCACAGAACCGGAGAGTGGATCGGTGGCTGCCAGGGCCTCTGGGGCCAGAGTACTGGGGAGTGACCAGCAACAGGAATAAAATTTCAATTATACAAGAAAACCAGTCCTAGCGACTTGCTGTAGATGCTGTCCTATCACACATCCTGCACACTAAAGCTGTGAGACCGCAGATCTCATGTTGTGTTCGTATCACAAAATAAAACTAAAAAAACACGCGAAGGTGTGGGTCAGAAAATTCTGGAAAACGAGTGCAGAGCCCTGAAGAGGGAACGAGCTCGGTGTCTGACCTGCATGGCTGGAGGGCAGACGGACGTGAGGGGTGTGGGGAGGGCTGGCTTGGGGTGGGCTGCAGGGAGCCACTGGAGTTCCAGCTCAGAGCTGACACGACCTCCGACCTGCTTGGTGCTTTTCAGCATCCCTGGCTGTTGGGAGGAGGACCACCGGGGATGCCGATGAGAACAGTCCGATTTCATGTTAATTAGGGCCCAGAAACCCGGTCCACCCAGAGGCCAGTGGCTCCCGGGCCTGCAGAGGCTGTGGCAGCTCCCCACGAGAGCGAGGGTTGAAATGCCAGCCTCCTAGAGAACTGGGCGTGCTTGTGGGAGATGACTTTTTGTTTGTTAGGCTCCCTCGCTGAAACATTTTCTTAAGTGACTGCTTTTCTGTTCTCCATTTTCATTTCCCTTTAGTAACTTCTGTTAATGGCTGATCTTTCTGCCTGCTGTTTCACACAGGACAGGCACGGCCGGTCTGCTGGGAAGTCGGACACCCTCCCTGGCTTGCATGCCCAAGGCGCTGTGCACATCCCCGCAAGGCACAGAGCAAAGGAGGCCACTTACCTCGCCGCAAAGTATGAGGACTGGAGCCAGTGGAGCTGTGCGCTGGGCTGACAGAGAGCTGATGGGAGCCGGCAGGGGGCTGCCCCTGCCCCTGGCTTTGGCCACTGGCCACCTGAATGCTGTTTCTTCCCGGCGCCAGCGTGGGCACAGCCGTAGCTGCAGAGTCCTTGGGCTTGGGAGGACTGAGGGGAGTAGAAGTCCAGTTAGATGGCAGGTAGGCAGGCCCAGCCAGAAAAGCTAAGCACACTGAACACAACGAAGTTTAAACAGTTCGCACTGCCCTAGAGAGCTAGCATTTACTGGGTGCCACACAGGACTCACTGCATGAGACTGTCTTCAACGCTGCGCCACTCAAACATCAAGAGAGAGACCATTTCACAGCAACCAGGACATTTCAAGTACTTGAACTGGGCAATATTTAAAAATGTGGAAGGCTTTCGGACTTCAAAATAATGCGATTTTGACACACACGTTATACAAAACTAAGCAAAACCTATGGCCAAGCACGAAAGCTCTGGAATATAAAGTGCTCAGCTGCCATCACTGGTGTGGCCTCAAGAAAGAGGAACTCTAAGAAGCGAAGTGACGGAGAGCTCAGAGCTGGTGGCAGTGGGTGGAATCAGAACTCAGGCTCTCGATGTCCTGGCTTAGAACCTCTCTCTACGCTAAATTTTACAGCTACACTTTGTCAAGGTCACCAAAGAGGGCACCGTACACACAATCTCTAAAATACTGGGGTGAAAGAGCAAACTGATGGCTGACGTTCCACCTGTCCTGCTGTAGTGAGGACTCATCATTGTCTTAAATAACATATTTAGCCTTGATTAGACCAATGGAATGCTATGGTAAGTAAAAATGTGTGAGTTCACTAATACTATTTTCTCAAACAAAAATAACTAAACCAAAACAAATACATGTAAGGAGTGGCAATGACTGACAAGCCAACATGGAGCCCTAGGAAGTTGAAGGAAGGTATTTATTTTTAACCAAAAAGCAAACTTCCCTGAGTTACGCAAGCAGAAGGGATTCGGGAACGCTCAGAGCTTTGTGGCCAGCTCTGAGGAGTTGGGAGTTTCTTATCCCTGACGCAGCATCGGGCATCACCAGGCACGCCCTCCAAAGAAGATAATGTGAGAGCTCTTCCACACAAATCCATCTCCGTGTGGGGAAACTCGGCTGTGGCTATACAGGCCGTCCTTGTTTTATGCATTTATTTTCCTCTTTATATGATCGTTTGGTGCTTTACAGGCAGCCAAAGTACAGCAAATGACGAGCGTCAGCACACCGCTCACCTTTTATAGCTGCTGCCAGCCTGCACCACCTGAGATGCCACCCGAGTGGTCATCTGCCCAGGTCAGTGTGAAGAACTAAATTCATGCAAGTTAAATAAAAGGTATTTTTCCTTGGAGTTGCTATACATTTATAGTCCACTCCAGGTGACTGAGCAGGAAGTAAAACAACAGAAAAGCCTTTTCAGAAAATCTATCATCATATTTCATACCTTATGCTCATGTATCAACTCCCTACAAGACAGAAAGCTAGGGAGTCACCTGGTACAGCACTGGCACATACTACTAAGTACTCAGCTATTCAGTAAATCTGACTGGATGGGGGTTGGGTGGATGGATGGACGCACCAGGAATACTATAACCTTACTTGCTACATTGAAACGTTTACTACTAGCATACTGGATGACAATAAGCAAATGGTACGCAAACACTGAGTACACATCAAACAGGGAAAGGAGATTTATAACATTGCTAGACACCTCCTGGTTTCCAGCTCCCAGCACTGAAGCAGTTCAGTAAAGAATGCAAACAAATGTGCGTTCTTTGGAAAACAGGAAAGGAAGCAAGCAATTTAGTCTTTTTCTCCATCCAATGCTCACCAGAGGATGAAGGCAAATATGTTTTCCTGCATGCCAGGTGACTCTCACGGCATGGGTGCTCTGCCTACAGGCCAGCACCTGCAGGAAGGCGAGGGCGCCCAGCACCCACTGCCAGCAAAGCCAGCCCCCTTACCTGCTGTCGCCTGGGCTCGGCCCCTGCTCCAGTGCGCACGCAGAGGAGGGAACAGGCCCACCCCCTGCGCTGCTTTCAGCCCTAGAGCTCTGGGAAGGGGGCTCTGGGCCCGCAGGAGCCAAGGTGCTGCCATCTGTGGGCGGGAGTGGCGGCTGGAAAGCAGGGGATACGTGCTTTCTATTTAGGGTGCCACCCCGCCGGTAGGGCTGGAAGTCCATAAGCTTCACACCAAAGCTACACAGAGAGAAGAAACAGTCAACACACCATGCGAGCCAATAACAGACACAGAAGCCCATTGGTCCACGCGTGTTAAAACCCACACGGTACAGCTACCCAAGTTGCCCAGCATGCAGTGAAGCAACAAGGACCAGGTGGATGGCCATCCCTAGTACCGAGGCAAGCAACTCGACTTGGCCTCTCCCCTGCGAGAGCCAATGGGCCTGGTACTGACCAGTGTCCTCAATGGCGCAGGAGCAGCTGACACACGCAGGCAGACCGCAGTGTGAGTGCATGACATCACGTGAACCTGTTTAAGTCCACGTTACCACACACAAGCGCATGGTCTCAAATGTGAGTGTGGGAGTCCTACCAGGGCCTCTTCAGCCCTGGGCAGAGGCAGGGGTGTGAGCAAGAGCAATTGAAAGCGCAGGGCAGGGAAGCTGCTTGGGGCTGGACCTGGGGGCTGGAGGACAGGGCAGAGGAAGGCTCATTTCCACTCAAGCCCACTGTGTATAAACTTCAAAACTTCTTTGTTTTTAGTTCAAAATATCAGAAGATTTATGGCTCCCTGAGCATGTGTTTCTGGTGGGAGCCTCCCCAGGCAGATGCCAGAGAACTGCTTACTGTGTGCTACTAGAACCCTCGTTTAAGGAACATTCTGTAACTTAAATACACGAAGGCAGATCTGCTATGGCTGCTTGTCATCAGGAAGCATTGCTGCCGTGTGAAGGGAAAACTGCACAGCAAACGTGGCTTCAGAGGGACAGAAGAGGAAAGCATTTTCCTTTGCAATGGGTTAAAAAAACCAGAACAAAAAGACAAACCTCACTCTAAGACTGGGCAACTAAAATAGGAGCTTGTGTTTTAATGCAATGACTTCGGGTGACAGTACCACCTGCACGCAAACAGGCACGCCCTGAGCAGCGCCCTGCCACCCAGCCCTGCTGTGGGCACAGCGCCTTCCCTCGCAGCCCTCCGCGACCTGAGAGCCCTCCACCTGAGCCGGGAGCCTCTACAGAGAAGTGCGGCTCCCGCTAAGTCCAACACAGACCCTTCTCTTCCAGAATCAGCCAGGCTGAGGCTTCTCAGCTCAGCATCAGATTCAGTGCTGGCTTCCACCAAGGGCCCGAGTTATGCCAAAAATATGCCTCTTTTACACAATCACACCACTCACCGTTGAATGGTGGGTTGTTCTCATGCCCACTCTTGGATGTAAGTCCATAATGTTTAACTTTTTTCTTATTCCCTCCACCTCCCAGGCAAGTACATTCAGGTGACGTGTAAGATGCCAGTGCACCGTGGGGGCGACCGAGCAGCAGGTAAGCGTGAATGCCCACAGCACATGTGGCCTGAGAAGCTGGGCACCGACTTTCTGGCCAGAACAAGGTTTGCAATGAACTAGAGCTGAGTGCCGAAACTATCTGGGCTCTAGCAGGCCTGGGCCACACAGGCCTCCGAGGCAGTACTGCTGCCGAGGGCTTAACAACACCGGTTTGAAGTGATTGCTCTCACACACCTCTCCTTCTTCACCAAGTCCCCTTCCATCACCGCCATGCTGGCAGGTCGCTTCCTCTCCAGGGTCCCCGAGTCAGAGTCATTTCCAGTGTGGGATGAGTGGTTGGAGTTTGGGGGGGCAACAGGTACGAATGCTTCTGACACATTAAATTCCACCTCTGCAGGAAGAGAAAGGCAGAGAGAACATGAGACACAGAGGCGGGGGGTGGGGCTGTAAGACACCCCTGGAACGGGAACTTCCTCTTCATCCGTGAGCCTCACTACTTCCTAAGCAGAAGCCCACACCTCCTCTTCTACAGGACGCTGATTACACCAGGGAGGCAGGACGGGACCAGACGGGGCACGACTCAGAACATGTACAAGACTCTGCTGTCTTTTTGTAAACAAACACACAAATACGAAAAAGGGGCATGGATAACTTATTTGAATAATGAAGTGTGATATTATTCAGTCTGACATAAAATGAAAATAAAAGGCAACGTGAACTCCATACTGCCTACAGCAGCTTTCACATGCCTCTTTTTCTCCAAGGAGATCTGGGGCAGAATGCCAAGCGGAACCCCAGCTCTCGAACTTAATTCATTCCAGGAGGCTGCTCGAACACTGAAGCATTTTTCCCTTAGAAATAATGTAAATTGGTTAATCCATTCCAAATGGTTCCCTGTTTTAACCCTTCTTACATACAGTGCCTGTCTAATGTACTGTTTAATCTATAAACACTTTAAAAACAAAAAGGAAAGGAAATGTAAGTAAAAAATGAAAATTTAGTAATAAGAAGCAGTAACAAAAGCAAAAACACATAAAAATATTCACAGCACAATTTCCTGAGATGTTAACTGTACTGACTCATGCTCGCGCATTCTCTCCATTTATTGCTTGAGAGATGCGTGACTGATCATACAGGCATCAGCACGAACAGGTTGTCAGTTGAGAAGTGGACTGTTTGAGATGGGAGACCCTGAGAACCGAGGTATAAGTGCACTCATTCATTCATTCACCCATCCTGCATTTCCTGAGCAACCTCCCGGCGTGAGGTGTGGGTTCTTTAGAGGAGATGAGCGTGGCCCTGGCATCACAGAACTGACACTCCAGGGAACCTGACATCAGGGCTGCTCTGGCAAAGTAGGGATGGGAGGTCCAGACGTGGACCAATCTTCCAACACTTGCCCAGCCAGTACCCTCAGAGGGGTCATGGAGTCTAAGATCCCAAGACTGCAATGTAGGTAGTTTACAAACTGATTGCCTATAGCAGGGGTGAGGAATGTCTGGCCCATGACAGTATAAGGCCCAAGAAATCATTTGGTCTGGCCCTGTCAAGGCATTAGGGGTGAGTAATTAAATGTTAGACCAAATATAGCAGGCTAATTTTTAAGTTGATAACTTTGTATGGCCCGCAAGTCTATATTTTATATGTGTGTGTGTGTGTGTGTGTGTATATGTATGTATGTGTATATGTGTGTGTGTGTGTGTGTGTGTGTGTGTGTATATATATCTCTAATATGCTAAGTGTCCCCACGGGAGTTCGACCAGGAGTTCTATCGCTCACTATGACGTGTGCTGACCACTAGGGGGTGGCGTGGAATGAAGGAAGGCCCTGGCTGGCAGCCAGAAGGCCGTGATCGGCCCTGATCACCAGCCAGGCCTAGGAACCCTATCTGTGCATGAATTTCGTGCACCGGGCCTCTAGCGATGTTATGAATATCCAAATGGCCCTTGGCAGAGAAAGGTTCCCCACCCCTGGTCTAGAGGATGAAATCCAAATCCTGACAGCCAGCTCAGAATGGGCCCAGCCAACCTTTCCTGCTTGCTCTCCACTCTGCACGAAGCCAACCATCTGCCTAGAGAAACAAAAAGCCTGCCTCCAGAGGAAACTCCTGCCTGTTCAGTGCTGCCACTCTATCACGCAATCCGACTTCCTTTCCCAACCTCTGAGTCTGTCAAATCGCTGTTCACCCACCTATCCTTCTAATTTGCCATGTATTATAATTTATCTGTTTACGTGGCCTCTTGCAGTGGTCCGAGTTCCTCCAGGGAAGACAGCAAGTCTTACCAGCACACATATGGCACCTACTGGGTATTCAGTATACGCTGAAAATGAATGGTTGGTGTTAAGTGAAACACAAAATAATGGGGTCACCATGATGTCAAAATACAAATGCAAAACAACAGTTCTGGAAAGAAACATGAAAAAGAGACACCTATTATGCCATCACAGAGGATTATTGATGCATTTGCCCTTGAAAAAGACTTTTCACACTGTCACACTATTATTGCGTTGCTCTGGCAGCCAGTGAAGCTGCAAAGCTAATTACCTCCAGGGAAGAACCAGTCGGCGTGCTGAATGATGGGTTCGATGACCGCAACCACATGCACGGAGGTGGCGGCTGCCATCTCAGCCAGCGTCCTGCAAGGAAGTGCACAGAGTTCACACGCTTCCCTGGGCAGCCTATCATTTCCCTGGTCTGGCTCAGAGCCATCCTACGACTTTCAAAGGATGAGATATTTGAGAATAATGCAAACGTTAAGTCCACAAGGCCCGGGCTATGTGCGTTGGGTCACCCCATTAGTCAGCCCTGAGATTGTCACACTGCCAGGGAGCCTGTGATGGCTGTACTCAGTGCTGGGCTGACACTGGCTGGGACAGGGCTGTGCTGCCCACGGGGACGGTGTTACCCACGGTAGTGACTGGTGAGACCCAACATCACAGGCAACAATTTCACCTACGACAGAAGCAAGGACGTGGATTGTGACAGCGTCCCACTGTCATGTCAGAAAACGTGAGCCCCCTTTTACATGTATTGAGAAGGCTGTCATATTTATGAACAGGTCCCAAGGTGCATGTTCACAAACTGAAAGTGTCTGGAAAGAGATCAGAAGGAAGAGCATAAATGAGAATAGTTACTCCGCTACCCAGCATGCTCCTGTCTGGGGTCAGAACGCCATGAGAGCAAACAGGGTGCAAATGGCCCAGTGGCCATTGAGGCCTACCACGCGGCAGCGCTTCACCTCGTTTAACTCCATCTTTCAACATGTTGCATTACATCGTATTCATTTATTTTATCAAAGACGCTGTATTCCCAAGAAGCTGGGTCCCGGTCTGGCCGCCCCAAACCTATCTCCTCTATTATCACTCTGACCTTCCTTCCCTGTAGGAAGAGTACTTTCACCCCAATTTCCAACCAACCAAAGTTCTAGCTCCTTTCAAATTTCAGCTTCAAAGGCGAGTTCCACCTGCTGGTCCCCTGCCCATCTAGATTCGGGTCGCCTGGGCCTCGAGCGGAGCTGCTGTTTGTCTACTGACTCACAGGACCTTTCCGATATCCTGGCTATTTCTGGAGGAACTCCTGCCTACTTTGTGAATTACCATTTTCTTAGAAGCTTTCTGACATACAGAAGTTTCTAGCTATTATAGAGCCAAATCCATCAATTTTTAAATTTGTTTCTTGCACTGCTTTTATGTTTGGAAAATTCTTCTCTTATCTCAAAAGCTAAAAAATATTTACCTTTATGGCATCACTTTTTATATTTAACTCCTTGGCCTACCTGGATGTATCTGCTATAAGATATGATGTATGCAGTTAACTTTATATCTCTACTTGTCTTTCACTTCACTGTATATCAGATCTTTGTAAATAATCTTACAAGTACTTTCTGAAACGATTGGGCACACACGAGTAAATAAATGAATGAGAGGTAGAAAGACTGACTCAGAAAGCCATGGCACTTTTTAATGCAAACTTGAACCACTTGTGATTTTACGCAGCTGAGCAGCAGCGATGGGAGGCAGGGAAGGGAGGTGGAGCTGAGGGACAGACTGTAGCCAGCATCTTGGCTCTACCGTTTCCCTGCTGTGCAACCCTAAGCAAAGTGCTTGTCTTCTCTAAGCTGCAGACTCATCTGTAAGAACAAGGACAACAGCGCCCACTCCACAGGTTACTTGTGAGGATTGAGCGAGACCATCGTAATGCCACCATCAGAGTAAACGCCACTGCTAGTGGTTTCCCCGGAGCTTTTTAACTGACCTCCCTGACCCCTCCCCCACTCCATCTATGCTTCTCAACGCCAACAAAGCCACCTTCTCAATGCAACCTGCCCTGCGTCATTCCTCTGCTTAGAAAGGTGGATGAACACCCTCCCGACATGACCCATAGAAGAAGTTTCAAACACCTCAGCAAGATACGCGAGGCCTTTGAGACCTGGCTCTGGCTTCATTAACCTCAGTCAGTCACAGCCTCATGTCACCTGTGCTCATTGATAAGCCCATGCAACACCCCCCCACCCCTCATTAGAGATCTAGTGCTTTCATCCTGCAACACCTTAGCTCATTCAGGACCCACTGTAGGGAGCCATTTATCAAGGTTCAGCTCCAGGGCCACTTCCTGAGCAGAGCTCTCTCTGAACTCAGGCTGACCCGTGTCCCTTCAACAAGCACCAGTGCCATCAGACTTGGTAATGCCTGTGGTACCTGCACACAGGTGTGCAGGCAGAGCTGATCCCTGAGCCACTTATCTGTCCAACTGCCTGAGGACGGGGCCCTCTAAGGACTGGGGCGTCTCTCACACCCTGTGTGGCCAGATGTGGGACAGGAACAGCTCACAGGAGGGTTTCGAGAATGTCAGCTCAAGGAAAGATCAACTTCAGAACATGCCCAAGTGCTCCTTACACTGGAATGTGTATCTTGAGTCTACTCTTCCGTCAGGTGGAAAGCAGAAATGAACATAATCCGATATGGGGAAAGGTTACTTACCCTTCATTTCTGGCCCATAACAAGTTAGGGCCTAAGACAATGGCAATGTTGCTGGGAGTCATTTTGTTGATGTCACTGGTCTGAGCAAGCTTTGCGAGGAACTTGATTAAATACCTGTGGTGCAAAAGATAAGGGGACAGCACCAACTCTGAAAAGGTTGCAGAAATAGCATCTTCCTGCCCACGCGCCCAGGCCCCGAGTGCTCAGGTGCAGCTAACTCAGACTCTAGCTCAGGTTAAACACTTTACAGATTTCCTGTGTTCCACGTTTCAGAGGACGGACACATTTAGGGCTTGGAAGTGGAAAACAGCTCAGAAGTCAACCTCAGTGATTCAACCTCTACCTGCTGTATATTCCTAATCCATTTCTCCTTTAGGCGCTGTCTACTCTGCCTGAGTTGGTTACAGCGGGAGTCACAGGGGCTCAATATACACGAACACAGTAACAACAGACTCAGAAAAACAAAACAGGAGCACATACACACACAGGGAGACAGAAATGTGGGTGTGCTGCTTAAAGGGAACTGTGTGAAAATGCCTCATGCTGTAATTAGAAAAAATACCCAGTTTACCACATAAATGTATTCTCTCGCACTATAAAAAAATGAAGAACCCAACTACATATCAATAGAGGGCTAATAAAATAAATAACAATAGATTCACACAGCGGAATACTATGCAGCCATGAAAATTGACCAGGTGCTGATATGGAAAAATCCCCAAGATGCACATTAAGCAAAGAGGGCAAGGGGGAAAATGGTATGTAGAGTATATGCTACCATGTGGTTTTGGAAAACAGTGGGGGCGCTGAGAGAAGGAAACGTGTGCATGGATGCACGCATGTATCTGCTGACACAGGCACTGGCTCCGAGAGGCTCCAAGTGCTGTGTCTCAGGAGGGGAATGAGGGACAGGAGCGAAGAGGACTTTTCACTGTACACTTTCTGAACTCTGAGCCATGGAAAGGTACTCCCTATGCAAAAGACAACTGGTAAACATTATAAAGAGGAAAATAAAATGAAAGGCCAGATCCCAAAGTACCAAACACCGGGACGGACTCGGAACCGGGCAAGAGCACCGCAATGCCACGCTAGATGTGCCCACGAGCCAGCGAGGGCCAGCACAAGCACCGACCTTCTCCCAAGGCCGAGCCTCGGGTACGGAGAGGGTGTTTCCTTGGCTCAGCCACGGACCCCAGGACTGAGGAGCACGTCAGGTAACATGCCAGGCATTTCACCAGGAAAGTCTGTGCCACTTTGGACCCCGTCCTCTTACAAAATATTCTTTGATTTTAAACAACTCCATTGCCAACGGCCACCCTTTTTCCTTCTCTCTCCCCTTCTTCGAAGCCACATTTTAAATGAGATGGAAAATAGAGGTTAAACTCCAGAACTTTATCCTATGGTAAATTTTCTTAGAAACAGAGTTATTCCATAAAATAACATACAATGTCCATTTCCTGAAATTTTACTTAGGATGATTTATGCTCTATTCAAAACTATGTAGCATATATGGAAGATATTACAGAAAGTACAACTATTGATCACTTTTTACCCTTTATCTACTAGGCAATTTAGACTTCAAATCCTACAGTCAACCGAACCTTCCACAAGACTTTTGTCCTCGGTGACTTGCGGGGTGAAATGACTGGGCAGCTTACCCATGAACGCCGATGTGCTCCAGAAAGGCCACAGTACACGTAGGTTCCCTTCCTCCCAGCACCCCCAGGGACCCCCGCACTCTGGGTGTGTGCCAGCATGCTTGCATTAAACAGCCTCTCCGCTGCGATTAACAGATTCTCATGTTGAGTCACTGTAGTTTGGTGGCTTTATTTACAGAATGTCCATCATACATACCTAAAGTTAACGAAATTTTGTGGTGGCAACTTCTGACATGTTCGCCATAAATCTTGAAGTTTTTTGTCTTGATCCTGCACACTAAGAAAACATGTTATCCATAACCACTTACGGAAAGTCATATAGTAACCCTGGCCATATGCTACAAACAGTGATGCCTCCACTGATGGAGAGCAAACAGATTTGGAGTCAAATACCAACAAACGACTGAACTGAGCAGTTCACTGACCTCACCAAGACTCAATCTCCTGATGTGCAAAGCTGAGTAAGGCTGGTCCTGCCGCGTGATGGGAGTTTCAGGGGTACAACCATGCGCATCCCCTAGACCAGTCAATGCCTGGCACACCAGAGACAGGGCACCACTGAGAACTCTCTAGAAAATGTGTGCCCACGCAGGGCGACACGGAGCCCAGATCCCTTGTCCTACACGCGGTGCGGCACAGAGGAGCGGCCACACCCAGGCTGCAGCCCCATCGTGCCCTCCCAATCTCGCGCCAAGGCTCCAGGCAGCCAGCCCGCTTCTGCTCTGCAGGCTCAATGTGCAAACTCTCAGACACAAAAGGGCCAGCCCGCAGCCCACAGGGCAGAGTCCACTCCGGCCACCAGTGGGAGGCAGTGTCCGAAGTTATCAATACGTCCTCCACCGCCGAGCCAGTCTGGAGAGTTATGGGCAGTGTTAAGTGAAGTTATACTCAAGGCCAGGTGATGTGTCACTGGGGTGGACCGGTGGCCTGCACTGATCATTCTCAGGCACTGAACCCACACACCAAAAGACAGACACCTTCTTTAAAAGCACATTTCCTCACAGGGACGAGTGTGAGAGTCTCAGAACAGAGAACAGTCACGGTTTAGGGGGCCGGGCAGTGACCCCGTAAAAGAAAGCCCAGAGCTCTCCCCTGCCTGGCAGTGTCAGGCCCCATCACCCAGTCCCACAAACATGATGCTCACATCAGGCTGAGGCCCAGGCGGGCTCCAGGGAGACAACCACGACCAGGAACTTGCTCTGACTTTAAAATCCTCACCGTCTACAGGGACAAAGTCTCACTCCACAGATAGAGGGAAAAAGCTCCACGCAAATCCCTAGTGAAAGTGACAAGGGATGGTCTCCCATCCCTGCACTGTAACTGATCAGAGCAATGGCTTACTTCTAAGGGAGCGGGTGACAGTGTCTGAGGACGGGAAGGGGGGGAAGTCTGTTCTCCTTTCTTCAGGGATGAGGAATTAGGCACCTTTAAGAGGAGGGACGAGACTAGGAGGCAGGGTGGCGAGCAGTGAGAAGGCTCTAGGACAGGGGTCCTCAAACTTTTTAAACAGGGGGCCAGTTCACTGTCCCTCAGACCGTTGGAGGGCCGGACTATAGTTTAAAAAAAAACTATGAACAAATCCCTATGCACACGGCACATATCTTATTTTGAAGTAAAAAACCAAAATATTTGTATTTGCATGTGGCCCGCGGGCCGTAGTTTGAGGACCCCCTGCTCTAGGACTTTTCAAACAATTCTGCTCTGCTTAAAACCAACTACTCCTCGACAGGTGAGGTGGGGATGGAGGGACGAGACAAAGACGGAGCACAGTACTCCCTATGCACATTACTCTCTGTGTCACACAGGCCTGGGTCTGAATCCCAGCTCTGCCCACTACTTGCTACTGTTTGAGACTTCCTCAACTTCAGTGTCCTCCTCTGTGAAACGAGCATGGTAACATCCGCTGTTAAGTTATTAGCTACGGATCACAGGAGGCGATAGGTGTTAGATCAGTACAGTACTCAGACACAGCACATGCCCAGGAAGTATGAACTTTTATGACCAATTATGTCCAATGTCAACGTGACATTATGCACAGCTGAGTTCCCACGCAGCTCAACAGGCACTGGCCGGTACAACATGTATCCCCAGTGACAGGGTTTTCTTCAATATGAAAGGGGCTTTGACCAGACAACCATAATGTGGGCACCACTGTACGTCCTCATCCACTAAATGGCACATTTACGTCAATGCCCAAGTGGCGACCTTCCCACGTAAGAATCACAATCTGCAGTATTTTCATCGTAACCTTCAGAACTGAGGCACAGCCTATTTAACAACTATGCTATGGTAATGTTCTTTTCCCACCCAGGAGGGCAAGACAATTTACAAATGGGACACAACAGTGCTTCACTTCCTTTACCTTTTGAAACTCAGTGCTCCTGAACTTACCTGGCAACTTGCGTCCATTCTTCATACAGCTGGAAGGTCATCAGCGGCTCGGGCAGCTCCCGCAGGTAGGATTTCAAAGCACCTGGAGGCAGGAGCACTCTCTTTGAGGATACAAAGGGGAGCTGGGCTCTCAGGACGTATTACTTTGCAAAATTAAATGATCTCAACTGTAATTTTCCAACTATATAGAACAAATTATGACTTGCTGGGAAAGGTTAAAGAATAAAATGCCCCTAAAACAATCTCTGCCTTGCCACATACAGAGCGGGGCAAAGTAGGTATACAGTCGTTCGTATGGAAAATAATACAATAATTAAGAAACATTATACAATAAACTGTGGTGTTTCACATACGCACACCTGTAAACCTACTTTTGCCTCCCCTGTATATTGAGACCAGTGAAAATCAACTCAGCTTCTGAGTCACCACGTTAACAGACAGCACTTCCCCAGGCTGAGCACCATGTGAAGGTGAGAGAAGGGGAGAAAATACAAGCACGCCTCCAAAGACCTGGGTTATAAGCCACCTTCACCTTTACGTGATAACCAGGAAAAAACCCCACAGGAATAGAAAAGGTGTGAGTGTGTATCTACTTTTTCCCTTTTGTAGCTTAAGCCTAGAAGGAGCCATTTCACTTAAAACAACAATCAACACTGGTACCCGGGTGATCTGAGACTCACCCACCACTGGGGGGCACTCCTTGGAGCTCACCTGCTACAGCATGGGGGTCTGAATAAAACTCATCCAGGTGAGAAGTAGAACAGTCTAAGGCAGCTTTCAGCTTCTTTAATCTGGAGGCCCCAGCCGCAATTCGGAAAAGGCCCTAAAGACAATGCGAAGCCATTAGCATCAAGTTCGAGTTGGGAGCCGGCACTGAGCCGCAGTAAGACCCTGACGGAGGACCTCCAGCCCCACGGCCAGCACATGTCGCCTGCAGGCAGGGCCACACTGCCCACCTAGTAGTACTTGCCCTGCCCCATTGCTAAAATACCGGTGCCCATTAGAAATCTATTTAAAAACAATGTACCATACTTCCATAAGGGTGATGCTATAGATTTGTTAAACTTAGAAATATTTTTTAAAATGGACGCCTCGGGAAAAATTGTAAGACTGAACTGCCAGCCTCTTTCACTGCCCTACATATACGTAAGAGAGGAAAACCCACGAAGGGTCAACAAGTGAACTACGAAGACACTGGGCCAGGAACCTAGTCCAGGTTTCTCAACCGCAGCGGCACTGACCTTTGGGCCAGAGGAGTCTGTGCTGTAAGCTGTCCTGTGTTTGTAGGATGGCTAGCAATGCCCTGGTCTCTACTCTCTGAAGACAGAGCCAACTCCCCTCACCCCGCCCCCTGACAATTGCGTACCACACAAATCTAAGACTGCTACACAAGCGGCAACTCATGGAGCTCTGGTCCCTCAGTGACCATGCCACTCATTCCCATGCAGCACAGCCAGAGTGCCGCATGGAACTATCGGAGTGGGCTGCAGGGAGGGGCAGCACAGGGTGTGCTGGGGAACCTTAGCCCATTCGGGTGCTGTGCTGGGGTCACAGGGAGAAAAGTGGAGGCCCGCCCTGCTGCACATCTCGGCAGTGCAGCCCGGAGCCCGGCCGTGCCCTCACCTCCTCCTTCATGCCCGTCTCCAGCAGCAGCATCACACAGGCTTCGATGGGCAGCGCGATCTCGCGGCCACTCCGCTTCAGGTGTTCCTCCAATGGCGTCCCGAAGGCTGGCTTCTCCGCCCACTTATCTAGAGCAGCAAACTGTCAGTAAGATCCGACAACCCTGCGGCATCAACGTGCTGCCCCCAGGCGACCACAGGACTGGACATGGCCAGTGTGACCTCGGACGCAGAACTAGGACGGGCAGTGCTTCCCACTGCTGATCGCAGGCCCACAGCAGCGAGGCTGGAAGCCGTGCTGACAGCACACAGGCACCGTTTATTTTCAGGTCACAGGTTCTGCTGGGACCACACAGAGTTAAGGCAGTGTGGCAGAAACACATCCAATAGAGCAGGAGAACAGAAACAAGACTCCCGGAAGGGCTGCAGGGAGCCAGGCGGGCAGCAAGGGGCTGGCCTGGCCTGCGGGACCTAGCGCTGCCTGAGGCGCGGAGGGAACCAGCTGGCAGAAACGCTCCAATGAGGAGCACTTAGCTCTTCCCAGCGACAGGAAGGGCTTCCGTCCTCCTCCCACCTCCTACCATCATCAGTGGGCATTCGCCCTGCAGCCACTTTGCTACTTGCATGTAGGATGGAACAGTGTGCTGTGTCCCTGGCGCTCACCCACAGGTAAGAGCAGGTGCAGAGCCCACTGCCTGAGCTGCAGATGGGGAAGAAGTGAAAACCCCCACAAGTCCATGGAGAAAGGTGGGCAGAGGCTGAGGAACGAGGTGATGGAGGGGGCAGGGGACAAAATCAGAGAGCAGGCCACTCTCTGAAGTGTCAGGAACCCCGTCTCTGGTCCAGTCCGGTGAGTGGAATTACTAACAAAAAGAGCAGCCAGGGGCCTGGCCCATCGCAGGCACAGAGCTCTGTGATGGCCCCTCAGAGGCCAGATCTTACTGGGACTGCTTTGTCCTTTTTATCTAAAGCAATGATCCTTGATGTGGGCAGAACACGGCCACTGACCCTTCTGGGGGGAAACAGCAGAACCACCCAGGGAGGCTGGGCCAAGGCACCTGTCACCCGAGCCCTGCAGGAACTTTCTAGTAAACACTGTGTCCTAACCCCCTGCCTGCTGAAATGTGAGAACCACTGATCTAGAAACAGCTCCTGGAGCAAACTCCACCAAGGTTGCTGGCCTCTCAAACAACATACCTACTATGTGCCAGGCACTGCACAGCACCCGAGCTCAGAGCCCCCCCTCAGTGTGAGAGCAATCTAATTGTGAAGAAAGTACAGGACACACATGTGAACATATACCAGCAACGAACAAGACAAGACACGTTTGCTGCATCAGGGCAGAAAGACGGCAGACAAGGGCACAGGCGTGGTCTCTATGGGGCCAGGCGGGCCCCGCCCCGTCGGTGCTCAATGAGGGAGGGAGCACAGGGTCTCCCAAAAGGCCGCAGCTGCCCTCAGAGCCATCCCATGCTGCACACAACAAGCAGACCCTGGGTCACCAGACCTTCTGAACTTCCAAGGGAAGCCAGGATTGGGATTGGTAAGGAAAGAGTCTGGTTTTAAATGATGAAGTAGTTTAAAAATGTTTAACAAGATATGGCAGTTTGCAACTTCTGGTGTAGAGCATACAATGAGAGCAATTCCGAGACAGGCTCGCTGCTGGATTCTGCTGTGGGAGAAGGTGTCTTGACGAAGAGCTTGGGGCTTAGAAGACAAACAAGAAGTAAACGAACCGGGAAGATGGACGGAGGAAAGACCAGGAGCTTGGGAATTCACATATCACCCCACAGCAGGCCCTGCAGAGGGAAATGGGCAGAACCGACCGCGGAGCGAGCAGGGAAGGAGGAGCTGCTCCCACAGTTGAAGCAGGGCCTGCAGAAGACAGCTGGTGAGAGGGAGCCGCAAGCGAGAGTGGAGGTGGTCAGAATCGGGGGTGCAAGGGGAAAGAGATGAGGGAGGGCTGGAGGGGGGAGAGAAGAACTCAAGAGCAAGGACCAGGCCCTGGAAAAGGGGGTGGGGGCAGAAATGGAGAAAATATAGCCCTAAGAGTAAAAGAAAGCAATTGAGTGAAATGAGGGAAAACTTGAACAAGGAAGAAATGGCCCAAGTCACATCAAGCGCCAGGACATGAGGTCACTGCTCCTTCGGAATTAGCGTTTTCTGTGTTTTTTAAAAATATATTCTTACTGATTTCAGAGAGGAAGGGAGAGGGAAATAGAAACATCAATGATGAGAAAGAATCATTGATTGGCTGCCTCCTGCATGCTGCCTACTGGGGATCGAACCCACAACTGGGCATGTGCCCTTGACCGGAATCAAACCCAGGACACTTCAGTCCACAGGCCAACGCTCTATCCACTGAGCCAAACCAGTCAGGGCTATTGTTGTTTTTTTAACTAGCAGAGTGATTAGGAGCAGAAACCAGCCTGCAGTGTTCGGGAGTGGGAAGGAGGTAAGAAGATGCAGTGGCAGGTGGAGATGAGTCATTCACTCCAAGATCCCACCAGTAGAGGAAGGAGAAGGTTGAAGGGGACACTAACCAAAGGCCAGCTGAGTGTGAGATCGGGGCACACAGGGGCATGGGGCAGTGGAGTCGAGTTTTCCCTACCTGAGGATACTCTGAGTCTTTCTGAAAACAGAGAAGAAGAAAAAGGAAGAGGGAGACAGGCTAAGATGAGAGGCAGATAGGACAGGCAGAGGTGGAAGAGGCTGAATCAGGCTGAGGTGGAGGCAACCTCAGGGAGAGAAAAGATCACATTCCCGTCACCAGCTGTGCCCCCACCAGCGTCCCTTACTCCACCTCACCCTGCCCCTCCCCACTCTTCCTCCCATGACTTTCTGACATACTTCTCTAGGGAAAATAGGCTTGGGGGAAAAATAGAATGAAAGGAAAAAAAAGAAAGGACTGCTAAATAAATCTTTTCTTTGTGTGCTTGTTAATCAACTCTTCCAACAAGATGTTTGCTACTTGGTCCTCTGCAGCCCTGCACGCAGTAGGCGTCCCATGAACACACGCTCTCTGTGCTCTGCCCGTGCTGTGCGAGGCTGAATGCTCGCCGCAGCTTCTTTGCTCTGACTGTGGCTCCCGCCCATCAGGCGGGAACTAGGAAACGGGATCCCAGAAGAGCCAGGGCAGCTCGTCCTGTGGAGAAGGGTCGGCCAAGCAGTCACACGCACCGAGATGGCTAAAGGTCGGACTCGGCGGTCATCAGGACGCAGAACTGCCCAATTCCTGTCTAGAAACTTGCAGCCACAAAGCCCAACCTGCTGGGCCCCCTACCATTGAGTGAAGTAGAACTCTTGAGGGTGAGTGTGTGCACACCTGCAGCACACACCCTACCCGCACACTTGCTCACTCTTTCACCATCACAGTGACCACACCCAGCACCTGGCTTCCTCCTCTCCGCTCCAGACACTGGTTGTGCAGGGAGAACCTAAGCTCCAAACGTCAGGTCAAACAGTAGAGTAGGACCAGGCGCTGCACTTCTGCCTCAGCCATGTCCTCTCATCTCTGCTAGCAAGTGCTGATGGCAAGTCAGAGAGAATTAGAACCAAAAGCTTCATGTTCAGTATATCAACCAAACTAAACATCCACTCATCACGGTGGGTAGAAGCTGCCATATGCTTGAAAGGGTGGGCAAAGAACCCGTGCTGACGAGCACAAGGGCCCGTGTCCAGACACGGAGGAGGGCTGAACGGCGTGGCCGCCGTCTTACCGCTCAGTCATCAAAAAAGTGCCCGATGATGGAGCACCACGGACTGGCTTCTAGAATTCCCTTTGCAAATTCCAAACCATTTTCCCTAGGATGTATGCTCATGGAGTCACAGGGTCAGAATCAAGCCCATGGGACTGATCACTGAACTGGGACAAGGTCGTCAGGGGCTAGAATGTGTCAAGCCTAGATAGAAGAGAAAACCACCAGGAACTCCCCCTCCCCCAAAGAGTCCAGTTCTCCTTTCAACTGAAGATCCCAGAAGACGTTTACATGTCCCATTAGCATGTTAATTGGGGTTAGGAGAAATTAGAGAATGCAGCCCGGAAAGACGAAACTGTGCTGGGCACTGGGAGCTCCGGGCCAGGCTGCACCCACAGGAAAGGCATGCAGAGGGCTGGGGCAGGGCAGAGGAGAGGCGCAGAGGAGGCAGCAGCCAGCACGCAGGTTACGTTACCTTGATGGGCTTGCATTTCGGGAAGGGCCTTTTCTAAGACTGCTAATGCTTTTCTATGGTAATCTGCTTGGGCTTCTAATAACTGAGAACAGACCCACATTCAAAAACAAAAGTCATGTTAGCAATGGATGGACACACACACAATGGCTGAGCAAAACTAAAAATAAAATCTTTTGCAAAAAAACCCAAAATGACTCCGTTTTTACACACTACCATTCTGTCAAGGCCAAGGGCTTACCGTGACAAAGAACTTGCTGTATTCCCCCTCTTTGGCCATGAAGCTGTACATATCTGCTGCCAGCTGGTCCTGGTGAGAGAAGACACGTTACTGAGAAACAGCTGTAGGAAATGGCACCTAGAATTAACCTCTGGGAGCTCCTCTCGCAAAACAGGATGGAAACAGCGCAGACGGAGCGTCCATCAGGTGATGGACAACCAGATGTGGAGACAAAGAAAACAAACGAGGAAACTTATGAGGGATGCACATGGAAACACCTCCACAGCATGTAGTTAATACACTGTTAAGAAGTGAAGAACAGAGCCCTACTTATGGTATGTTATTACTCGGTAAAAAGAAAAAAATGTTATATATTTTTTTGCCATAATTATATAAAAACTAGAGGCCTGGTGCATGAATTCATGCATGGGTGGGGTCCAGCCGGCCCACCTGATTGGCCGATCAGGACAGGCCGGGGTCAGGGGACGAGGTAGGGAGGTTGGCTGGCCGGCCGGCCTTGGCCCCTAGTCAAACTCCAGGTCGAGGGGACAATTTGCATATTAGTCTTTTATTATATAGCATATCTCTAGAAGAAAAACGAAAATCAGTAGCAGTGGTTACCTGTTGGAGGTGGTGAAAATTAGGCAGGAGGAGGAAAAGGGTGGAAGAAAAACTTTAATATACATTATTTTATATTTTGATATTTTTTAATTAATGTAAATGATTTACACAAAAATTAAACAGGCCTGTCTGGTGTGGCTCAGTGGTTGAACGTCGGCCTATGAACCAGGAGGTCATGGGTTTGATTCCTGGTCAGGGCACATGCTTGGGTTGCAAACTCAATCCCCAGTGGGGAGTGCGCAGGAGGTTGCTGATCAATGATTCTCTCTCATTGATATTTCTACCTCTCTCCCTCTCCCTTCTTCTCTGTCTAAAATCAATTAAAAAAGTTTTAAAAAATAAATAAAAGTTAAACAGTTTTTAAAAAAGTGATAGATTAGACAATTGGATATATATATATATATATATATATATAGACAATTTTCATATATATATGCACATCAGAATTTCATATATATTTAATGTACTACTTTCTATTTTTAGCATCAAGGTGCATAAAATTCACATGAAGGCTCCTTGTTTATTAAAAAAAAATCTGAAAATGCTAGTTAGGAGTAATAGACAACTAGGAATTTAACAAAGTAAATTCATGGATCTCCACCAGACCCGTCCCCACCCGCCCCCAAAGAATTTAAACCCCAAAAAACACACACAAAAAAAAACAAAAAAGAAAAAGAGAAAGAGTAAGGAGAGGAAGGGAGGGAGAGAGGGAGAGAAAAGGAAGGAGGAAGGGAAGATGGATAGATGGAGGGAGGAAAACCCTGACATGCACAGAGCTGAGTGGGAATGACTTGGTGAGAGTCTGTGCTAATTATGGTAGCCAAGGTGTTTGAGTCCAGCAGTCATGTGGGACCAGAGGACAGAAAATGAATTCTTGGGCCTGGTGAGGTGAGGAAGTAACTGAGACAGGTGCATGCATGTCACCCATAAAGATAACATTTCTGAAACGGTATTCTCAAGAGCGGATTAGGAAAACTCGCTAAGCAGGCACAGACATCATAGACGATACCTGTTTGGGATTGGGCTCTGGGTCCTGAGCAAAGCGGGAGGAGGAAGTCTTTCCACAGGAGGAAGTCTTTCCGGACTTGCCCGCCTGGTCCCCCGGTATTGCAAAATTATCTTGTGTATTTTTGTTCATTTGTTGTGCGGCTCCTCTTTCAGATACCGAACCCTACTGCACGCGGGTCATGGAAGGAATCACTCAGCAGGTCTGGAACAGTAAAACATCTCCCTGAGATCTCATAAACATAGACCTGCTTTCATGAGGGTCCAGGAATCTTCCAACTAAGAAAGTTGAGTTAAAAATGGCCCATAGTAGTAATAAATGCTCTGCGAATCCCCGGGAGCCCCACAGATAAAGTAAGTCCCTCTTAAAATGAGCTTACAATACAAAATCGCAAACACAGGAGCAAACAATCCACCATAGAGCACAAGCGCACCACTCTCCCAGAGAACTTCTGAAAACAGAATTGCCAGACTGTTAAAATAAGCACACATAAAATAAGTACTGAAGAAGACTGCAGTATAAAAAAGGCAGGCTTGAAGAATGAGAACTTTAGAAGAGAAAAATATACTCAATGAAATTTAAAATTCAATGTGAATTCATTAAACAGCAATTCAAACACAACTAACAAGTCAGTGACACAGAAGAGATCTCAGGGAATTACCCAGAAGTTAGCATAAAGAGAGAAAGAGAATAGTTTCATAGATTGTCACCCCTGAAATGACAAGCCATGGTGTGGAAGTTTAGAGAAGAGACATCAGCCATAGTGTACCAGTTAGGACTCCCCAAACATCTAACCAAATTTTGTGTAAGAAGTAGCTAACAGCCAAGACCTAGGTTACATCAGATACAGTGAAACTGCTGCGCGGATGACACTGGTATTCTCAACAGGAGTCAGTGTATGAGGCTACTTTATCAAAGGACTGCTCTGAATATCAACTCTTTACATGCAAGGCCATGCCATGACTTTGGGAGTTTAATTCTTATCCACTATATTATTTTAAACAAGTCGTTTTACTACAGTTAACTGATCAAGGTTTGCTATGTTATCACTGGACCCAAATTAGCTGAAATATAACAGACTTAACCTTATCCAGTAGAATAAAGAGGCCATTTTTGGAAAAAGTTGAATAATAGGAGGAGGAAAGGTCCAAGTCGATCATCTTACAAGTCATCCTAAAGACCTATTTCTTTACCACCTCAAATAACATGTGGAATAAACATTTATTTTCATGGATAAATGCAGAGAATGAGGTCACTTAACCATCTGATCTGAAATTTAATTTATGACATACAAAGTTCTGCTTCTCCCTAATTATAAACCAACTGTCCTAGCAACACTTAAAAAATAATCCTTCCCTTCCCTACGGACATACAATGATGCCTTTACTATAAATTTAATCTTTAAATATGATCACATTCGTTCTAGAAAATCCAATCTATTGTGCATTGTCTAAATTGCTGTAACTTTATGTTTTGCTCTCCTTTTTCTTCACATATTCCTTTTTTTATATATATATTTTATCGATTTTTTTACAGAGAGGAAGGGAGAGGGATAGAGAGTTAGAAACATCGATGAGAGAGAAACATCGATCAGCTGCCTCCTGCAAACTCCTCCCGACTGGGGTTTGTATCCACAACCAAGGTACATGCCCTTGACCGGAATCGAACCCGGGACCCTTCAGTCCGCAGGCCGACGCTCTATCCACTGAGCCAAACCAGTCAGGGGACATATTCCTTTTTTTAAAAAAATATATTTTTATTGCTTTCAGAGGAAGGGAGAGGAGATAGAGATAGAAACATCAATGATGGGAATCACTAATCGGCTGTCTCCTGCACGCCCCCCACTGGGGATTGAGCCCGCAACCCGGGCATGTGCCCTGACCAGGAATCAGAGTGACCACCTGATTCAGAGATCGATGCTTACCACCAAACCACACCAGTTGGACACCTATTCTTTATTTTAAATAAGCTTAGGCATTTTTGCCAAGTTTTAAAAAAGGTATTACTTGACTTTTTTAAAGTAATATTTTATTCTGGTTATAAAGGAAGGTAGAGTTTTAAAAAATAAAGAAAAAATTAAAACCACCTTTAATGTTATTTAAAGTATTTTGATAGAAATTATGTAAAATATTAAATAATTTGCAACATATGACCTTTCATCCACCATTTGCAAAAACCAAAAGATTGATGCAAACACATGTTCTCACACCTTGCACTGTTCTACTTTATTCCCGGCTTCGTCCATCTCTTCCTTCAGGGTGTCTATTTTTGATGGAAGCCCCTGAAAGTTGGTTCCTGAAGATTTGTGAGCCTGGTTCCACCTGCAAAGCACGAGGGTAGTCAGTACCTGAGAACCAGCTTACATACTCAGTCTCAGGGACGTCAGGGAGACAGGCTCCTTCCCTAAAACGGACTCTACCTGGGATAGGTGCCAGTACCTAGGACGCCAGCTTCTCTTAAGTTTACCCGCTAGGAATGGAAGAAGGCAAAAGAGCTTCCGCCACGCAGGAACTACAGTGCTGGGAGTAGCTGTCTGCTCCCGGCAGGACTGACCACATCTTGTCTCACACAGGCCCCACCACTGAACCTCAGACCACAAAACCCCTTTGCTAGTTTCTAGTCATGGAATTCTTGCCATGAAATACCCCTGCCCCCCTGCCTTGATCTGGAATGTTCCCTGTACCATTGATAATGCGATGCACTTGCATTTCTTGAGACCTCTTCCTACTACCATCCTGGGCTGTGATTACTTGCAGCAAGTAAAAGCCAGAACCCCAGTCATGCAGTGCTGTACCTGCCAAGCCGTAGCAATGGAAGCACTTTAAGAACTGAAAACACTTACAAGGAATATTCTGAAGACAAATCTACAGCAAATCTCAAATGTAACGCGGAATATTTATGTTCCTTTTATAGTAAGTAAAAATGACAAACAAAAAAACAGCATTGTGCTACAGCAATATGGGGTTCAGGGAGCGGGGTGATAACTGAGGACATGTGATGGAGTGGTGGTTCTCCCCGCCTCCCAAGCAAACAGCAATCAGTGGTGCACATGATAGCCAACGGCAGCTCAGGAGCGAGGAAGGGAGCAGTTACAGCTTGCTAAGCTGCGGGGAAAGCACCTGACATGAAGAAACTCAGTCAAGGACAGCTATGTCGCCATGTCTGCCAGACAGGACTGCAGTGAGAGGTAAGAGCTAACAAGCAGGTGTAGCAAAGCCAAGTGGTTTTGTAAATAAAGTTTTATTGGAACACAGCCATGCTCATTCATGTACGATTGTCCAGGGCTGCCTCTATGCTACACCAGCAGAGCTGAGCAGTTGCAACAGGAACCATCTGAGTTGCAGAGACGAAAACATTTACTACCTGGCCCTTCACAGAGGTTTGCCAACCCGTGTGAGAAAAGGCCTGGTGTGGTGGCTGCCTTCCTACCCCCGCTCAGGCCCAGGGAGAAACCCAGGGAGGTCACTGATACAAGCGTGCTCAAGAACGGCACTGCGGCTGCGGCCAGGCCATGAAGCAGGAGACTGGTCATACGACACCAGCCCACAAGCGAGCAGGCCTTGGGGGTCACTTAGTTTTCCACCAGTGCCTCCCTCCGGAGCACGGCGTTTGACTGTGAAGGTGATCATAACCACACAGGGGCTTTGACACACTGGGCCCTTCAGGAGCTGCTGAAATCACAGATCTAATTATTCCCACACTCTGCTTTGCCAAGAGCAATGCTCCTGGCACTGCCTGCCACTTTAAGACACTCAAGTCTCTTTTTTCTTTCTTGTCCCTTTTCATTACTGGTGCACTAAGACCAGGCTGGTCTAACACCATCCCTCCTGCCACGGCTGGGAGAATGAGGCCTAACTAAAGGCCGGTGTAAGCATGTCAGGTGGGTGAACCTGCAACAACTTTCAACTGTCCATACAGCATTCTGTCACCCACACTGGGGAAGGTGGCTGGGAGGTGGCATGATGCCACCTTACTGGTTGCTCTTCTAGCTTTCCTTACCTGGCTCTGACTGAGTCCCAGTCTAACACCAACTTGGCAAGCTGTTTCCTCTGTTTTTGGATGTTGGGAATCTCCACCTAGAAAAAAACATACCTCACACCAATTGGGATGAGCTTTGGGTTTCTGGTTTAACATTTAAAAGTGCAGTATTTATTTACAAACTAGAGGCCCAGTGCACGAAATTCATGCACGAGTAGGGACCCTAGGCCTGGCCAGAGATCAGGGCCGGCCGGGGCCTCCCTTCCCTGGCTGCTGCCCCCTGGTGGTCAGCACATGTCATAGCGAGCAATAGAACTCCCGGTTTCTCTTTGCCAAAGGATTATTAACCATCAATTCACTCCCTGAATTTCCAAAAAGAAGTGCATGTCAAAGGCACTGATTATTGTTAAAGTTGCAGACACAAGAGAACTACTTGCTGCCCAGCCCGCACCAAAGCACCCACCTCTGCTATGCCACACAGCGGGTCCACAATCTCCTTCTCAACAAAGACCTCGTGCTGAGAGAGTTCGAGAGCCAGCTGATTCTCAGCATCTCCACACGTCTCCAGCATCCTCCTACGAAACAAGATGCGCCAAGAACAAACTCGTGTTCACTGAATCAGGCACCTAGTTAGCACAGCCAGTTCTGCCCTCCATATGACGGGAACACACGATGGCTGCCATGGACACCCCCCACCCATCCACTTGTGTTGACCCACCGAGCCCCTGGCTCTTTCTCAAAGCAGTGCCGCTTACCCCAGGAGAGAGTCCTCTAGCTGTGTCGATGCCTCTTGCATGTTCTGAGCGAGAGCCGTCAGAGGGAGCTTTTTCTGGAAGGCAAAAGACAGTGCGTTTTTCCTTAGCATTGATGCCCACTCTAGGTTACCTGCTTCAGATCATTCACTTGTTTCTCCTCCAGACAAACTACACAGGTAGGAGACAGCCTGGCTCTGGTCTCAAAGGTATGAGTGGTGTGGCAAGCTCAGCATCAGTTTCCCGTGCCTGGACTATAGGGATGAGAATGGGGCGAGGGCCCAGGGCTGAGGCGGCCCTAAGGAGGGATTCAACACCAAGTACTCAGCACGCGTTCAGTCCTCAGTAATGATAGCAGCCATGTTGCTGTTGTTGTACTATTATTAATTGATCAAGTACACACTATGTCCCAGGCACTAGACATAGAGTTACTTTGATTATCACAACAAATAAATGCAGTAAGGTGCTCAATTTCAAAAACTTTTGCTAGAACAAGCATTCTTAAACTGACTGTTAATTTGGCTGTAATAATAAAGATTTAGCTTTAGTTACATGGCTAAAACTATCTAGCCAAATTTCCAAATAAACTTTTTTTAGATTTTAAGCACAAAGCCTCCTCTTTTCTTATCGGATTTATTTTTCAGCTGAAAACGGACATAAGAATCATCTGATTAATGTTCTAATTGCACAGCCAAGGAGGCAGGCGGCGGGGAGTGAGATGGAACGGCCAGGCACCTGGGTGAGGGATGGCAGAGCCACACCCAGTGCCTGCGGCCTGCGTCCCGGGTTTGGATTCCCACCACTGGCTGGTAGCTTATCTCAGAACACGAGTAAGAGAGGAGGGGAAGGTAACCAGTGGGGCGGCTACACCACTGTAACCTGCTCACAGAAGGTGCTGCCCCGTCGCAGTGCTCCACGTCACTCTGCCTTCCACTAGAAAGGGCACGCACAGCAGACCAGGCCCCTCACTAGGGCACTGCGGCTTGACCTCGGCATGTCACTCTCTTTCCTGCCTTCACAGGGCTGCACCCGACACACTCACACCGTATTTGCTTGTATTATACAGAGTCTCTCAGGGAGGCTGTATAAGGAATACTGGTAGCTCTAGAGAGGAAATGGTACTAGGAAAACAGGCTGGGAAGGTCTCACTGTATCTTCTTGGGTATATTCTAGATTTTGACCATGTAAATGGATAGCCTGTTGAAATGTAAAAGTCACCACAAGTACGTTTATCCCTCTGCCTTCCTCCCAAGTTATTTTCAAACAAGTAGTAGGCTTCGCCTGCCCTACTGCTGTCTTCACACTTCTAGACCAGGAAGACCCCTGAAAACGGGGAGCCTGCTTTATCTCAACTGAGGAAAAGCTGCACATTTCAGTCCTGCTGCCTCCCAAGGGCATTTCACACAGGTAACCGTGATGATCAAGAGAAACACATGTGGCGCAGCCCCGGAGCTCTCGGGCCTTTGGGGAGGTCATAAAGAGGAGTCTGTTGAGCATCACCCTAGCTCTCAGTGCCAACAGCCTGTGGCTCCCCAGCCAACCCCAAAGCCACAACAACCCTGTTTCCTGATGTGCAAGCATTAGGACATTCTGCTTATTTGACACGTGAGCTCATTGATGAAGATGCGGTCCACCAACATCTAACTCCTCCATGGAGAGGTGAGGCCTAGGGCTTCAGTGAAAAAGCCTCAAGTCGTATCTATAAAAGGCATGCCAACTGCACAAAGAGAAGCAATTCCAGATCGATACGACCCACAATATAAGCTCTGCCGTGTCAATGGCTCGGGCTGAGGCCACTGCCCTGTCTCCCCTCAATTCTTTCCTGTTCACATGAGTTACTGGTGGGGCTTGTGGGATTTCCTCCTGTCTCTCCTAGAGCCCTAGAGACTGCTGTGACTTTCTCCCTATTATATGACCTCTTCTGGTCACCCCTCTTCTATCATTTCCATGGTGACTCCTCTTCCCACATGCGGAGTGAAGACTTCCTCAGAGGCCAGTCTTGGGCACTTTTGTTTGAGATTGGGAAAGGAAGCTTAAAGCATTATGTTTTAAAAATGAGGGCTAGGCACCCTTGCTCCTGCTCCCTGGAATATGCCCATCACCTGCCATTCATTTCCCTTCTGTAAAGCCAGGATACCACCTCCTCCAGGAAGCCCACCTGACTACCCCTCTCCTCCTCTGGTGCCCATTCTTGGGCCTCCCATAATACCCTGTGCATATTTTATTTAGCATGTTGCTTTATAGTCATCCATTTGTGTGTATCTCCCCAAATAGGTTGTGGGCACCTTCAGGGTGGAGATGGCTTGTTACTCATCCAGCATTTGCACGTGGTATGTCTTGTCCCTTCTGTGTCTGCTTTGAGGCACAGCTCTGCTGTCACATATACTCATTAGACACAAATAAACATTTATCAAACACCGAACTGTGTGGACAATGCATACAGCATGAAGGAAAGGAAACAGAGACAATGGGACTGATAAGGGGAAATTCAATTTGATTAGCAAGGGCGTAAGTCATGCTAAAAGCTTAGTCCTTAACCCGCAAAGGCAGCATGTCCCTGGCAGGCGCTGCTGACACTGGGGCACCTTCAAGTGTAGAACTATCCCTTCAGACACCGCAGATGTTGGGCGCTTTGGTTGCCTACCCTCCAAATGCCGGTAGTGTACCTCAGTCCCTATGGCAACCAGAAATGTTTCTACACATTTCCAAATATCCCAGGAGTGTAGTCTGGACCCTGTGGAGAACAACTAAATGAAGTGTTTTTTTGTTGTTTGTTTTTTTTGGTTTCTTTGTTTTAAGGCAGGAGGATGACAGGGTTAATCTGTATTTCAGGAAAACAACTCTGGTGACCAGGTTGAAGACAGTCTGGAAAAGGGGGTGATCAGGGCAGGCAATGCCACTCCGGAGGCGCCTGTGGCAGTCCAGGTCTCACCTGGGAGCCAAGTGGAGGAGTGGGAGAGGGGAGGGGAGGAAGTCAAACAACACTCATAGAGAATCACAAGATATGCTCACTGAGCCGCTCCAGGACACTGGGGGCAAACTGAAAGGGCGTAAGATAACCCCGCAGTTTCTAGCTTGCGGAACCGGGGCTAGAATTTGAGTCAGCACAGAACTGGTTTTGCATGCCAGAACAGACAGCAAGGGGAGGGAGCTTTCTACTTGGTTGAAAATGGATTAGAAGTCCCTGTATACAGACATCAGTTAGAAGCCATGAGACTAGAGAAAGTGGTCCAAAGCACGTGACTGTGAGACTGAGAAGGACAGACCTCAGGAAACAGTATTAAAGGGGCAAACAGAGCAGAAGTCATGGCAAGAGAAGGAGTGGCAGGGGCTGATTCTGAAGAACGAGACCTGCGCAGGCACTCCCGGGATTGCAGGTGTTTGCAAACTTCCACTCCGTGACATGCACACTGCAAAGTGCTTGGTGCTATGCACGCGAGGAATGACCCACTTGTCAAAATGCCCATAAAAGCCTGTAGGGAATGTAAAAGAAAGCGGCACAGGTCACCTGCGTTCCAGCTCTTCCTTTTGAGACACCGGGTGACAAACAAAACAACAGCAAAAAGAAGGTTTCTCACCCCATTAAGACAACCACTGGAAGCCCTGGCCAATTTGGCTCAGTTGGCTGGACATTGTTTGGTGCACTGAGAGGTTGCCAGTTTGATTCCCAGTCAGGGCACAAGCCTGGGTTGTGAGCTCGATCCCCAATAGAGGGTGTGCAGAAGGCAGCCAATTGATGTTTCTCTCGCTCTCTCTCTCTCAAATCAATAAAAAAACGTATTTTTTTAAAAAAGACAACTACAGTAAAGAGATGCTTTCTACTCCAGGTGGACACACACAGGAGAGCGAACCCAGGGAAGCAGCGGACAGCCAACCTGCAACTAGGAGGGGTGTCCACTAGGGGTCAAGCGGACACTGAAGGGAGAAATGAGAGAAGGAAAGACACAGGGCTTGTGGCTTCATCACTGAAATGCTAGCTCGGAAGCCAATAAACTACTTTCTAAGTGAATTTCAGACAAGCCTTCAGCTTTTGCCATTAAAGGATTCCTAACTGACAGGTCCATTCTCTAATGCATGACAACTGGCTCCAGTCAAAAGCACTGGAGTGGGCGGGGCTTTCAGCCTCAATGATATCCTAAGCTTAAAAGAATGCTGTGGGCGGGCAGGTATTGTGAGCATGGACATGAGAGAAGGTACAAATCTGCAGGCAAAGCTGCTGATGTTGCCTCGGGAATCCAGCCAGTCAAAGGAGAAAGCCCCTCAAAGAGACAAGAACTGAGAGCGGAGTCGCATCTGCTACTCACGTGTCTCTTGTCGGCGTCCGTGCCATGCTGGCCCTGGAAGCATGCTGCCAGGCGCTTGTGAGAGTGGTGGCACATGGACCGCACTGCATCCAGGCGCCGTTCGATCTGGCAAAACAGAGACAGTGGGCCATGTGCAGGGCTGAAGAACAAACTCAGCCTCTTCCTATGTGGCACCTGCACTAGGCAGGGAAGCACCCTGCAGTCAGATTTGTTGGCTCCTGGTAAAGATGCGAATGGTTCCTGTCCACTGACACTAGTAACTGTGGGACGTGGGGAATTGTCCTGAGTGACAGGATGTGTGGCATCATCTCTGGCCTCTGTGTACTGGATGTCAGTAGTTGTGACAACCCAAACTGTCTCCAGAAAATGTCCAATAGCCCCTCAGAGAGCAAAGTCACCTCGGGGTGAGACCCGCTGACCTCCCTCACTCTGAGGGCTGTAGATCCCCGAGATGCTGGATCTAAACCTGCCACAGAAAGAGCAGTGGCAGTGATGTCACACGCCACAGCACCAGGAATGGGCCAGGTCCACCCTCCAGCGCAGACCAGGCCCACTGCGGGAGGGAGAAGCCGCAGGGCCCTCCGCAGCTCTCCCGCACATGGCAATGTGGCCACCCACACAGCAAGCAGAAGAGACACAGCAAATGTCCAACACTTTAACTGCAGGGTCCGTGTTTTCAAAACTATTCCTTATTGTGCGTGGGTGGGTTTTTGTCTTTGTTTTTGAAATAAGCCTCCAAAGCAGAATGGCAGCCAGCAGTAAGAATCACTGACTTAAGAGACCCCCGCATCATGATTCGCTTCTCAAAATATTACTGCTGGGATATGGCCATTTATGGCAAAGGAGCTGCTTTTTACAGGAAGGAATGCCAAAAATGTGTATTCTGATGACTCACTCAGAATGAACAGGCCCTTAGGGATGCTTTCTATTTTAAAGAAAAATCAACAAATTCAAAGCAGAATACACTTTTGCCCCAAACGTTTTACCCAATGAGGAGGCTCTGTGCCTCTGTCCCTAAGGCCCTCACGCACAGAGCAGCTTTTGTCCAGAGGCAAGCCCGGTGGGTCACCAGGCCCCGGTCTGGCAGGCACGTTTATATTTAGCAGCAGATGCCACATCAGCTTCCCCAAAGCTTACAAATGGCCAGATTTTAAAACACCAGAAAACTAATACACACGCTTCACTTGCCACAAAAGCCTGGGGAAAACCCCCCAAAAAACTCCATTTCATTCTGACTCCCATTTGCACTAGAATGTACAGTCAGCAGGGACAAGGCTGTGGCCTGTTCTGCTCACTCCATATCCCAAGTACCTGGAGCGCATCTGGCACACAAATGGAAGGTGCTCACTTACTATCTGTTGAACGGACACGTATCTATTGAGTCCCTGTGCAGGACATTAGAAAAAGAGCAGCACATACATGGTGGCTCCTGCCTCCTGGGAATCACAGTTGCCACAGGAAACAACATGCAAGCTAAATAAACAGGCAGCCTCTTAAACAGCTCTCACGGAGACCCAAGACAGGATGCAGGGCAGCGATTTTCAACCGGTGTGCCACGGCAAGAATTTTTCAAACATGCAATACCTGAAGTCCTGACCTCTTTTCCCTTAGATCGTCAATGAAAAAAATGACAACAGCCATCCAGTGTGAATGAATCAAAGGTATACCTATTTTTTGTCAGATGGGCAAAAAATGTAATTTTTTTTTTTTGGTGTGCCGCATGATTGTAATTAGTTTATGTGCCATGACATGAAAAAGGCTGAAAATCGCTGATGTAGGGGGACACAGAGCAAGTTAAGAGAAACTTCACACCAGAAACAAAATCATCTCTGGCCTGCAACAGTGGGAACAAACAACACATCACCCTTCAGCAGGGCCATGTGCCGGCCTCCGCGCTCCACCCCATGCTCTCCCAGGGTTAGCTATGAGACGGATACTATCACCCGCCTTTCAGAGAACTGGAACCTGAGGCATGGGGTCGTTAAGTAAATCCCCGAGGCCACAGAGCGAGGCAGGGGCAAACCTGGAGTTCGAATCCAAGTAGCTGGGCACCAGACTCCACACCTTTAAGCACTATTCTCCCTCTCTACACTCAAAAACAACAGAAATCAAAAAACATCTGCAATTATGGCGGACAAGGTTATCTGTGTCAAAGTAAGGAGTTCCTAGAAACTGGCAACCTCTTCAGCCCAGCAGATGTTTGGGCAAAGGGACAAGAACAGATGGCTGCTGCCTGCGTTCCAGGGAAAGGGGCCACTGGCCTCATCTCAGGGCTCCAAGGATTAAGTGAGGTGATGTATGCCACTGAGGTGGGGGTGGGCGGGAGAATACTGACTTTTATGAAAAAGAGTGTGGTTAAAGCTTAACTGGACCAAACAATACTTCTGAATGTCTGAAAATGAGTTAGAAATATATGACAAATAAAACAATGGGAAAATATTAAGACTATAATTCTTTAATAAATCTTTGGGGGGAGGGGGCTTCTAATCCTTAATGAAAATTTCCAGTCCTCCAAAAATAAAAAAAATAAAGAAACGAAACTGTGCTCTTAAAATATTCTACTGCAGACGGCTGTCATAATTAGGACGTTGCGGCCTGATGTGGTAGAAGCAGCATTTTTTTAAAAATTACGCGCCTCCCTGCACAGGGAATCACCAGGGAGCAGGCCTTTGGTCCTCGGGGACGCCTGGAGCAGACGGGCAGATTACAGACATGAGACCAAGGAGGCAGGTGAGGCGGGCTCTGTCCTTCCTGAAGTGTCTGGTGTGGGTGGGATGGAGTAGGGTAGGTGAAGTGATATGTATCAAGGGCCCAGGACCTTCAACCCACCCCTAAAGCTAGGGAAACTTCTTGAGAGATGGAGGGAGTGGACCTGGCTCAGGCCCTGGGCAGCAACACCTCTCCCTACAAAGAGGAAAGAAAGTTTGAGCTAATGACTTGAGGACACCCCCTATTGCCTCATGGTGATTCTGACACATCTAGTCAACTGTCACTGAGACCCTAAGTCCCACAGGGCCCAACTCAACTCAGTGGAGGGGGGGAGGGGGGCAGATTGTAAGAGGGCACAAGGAGTCAAAACTCTAGGCCCTGGCTGGTTTGGCTCAGTGGATAGAGCGTCAGCCTGCGGACTGATGGGTCCTAGTTTCCATTCTGGTCAAGGGCACATGCCTGGGTTGTGGGCTCAGTCCCCAGTGAGGGGCGTGCAGGAGGCAGCCAATCAATGATTCTCTCTCATCACTGATGTTTCTATCTCTCTCTCCCTCTCCCTTCCTCTCTGAAATCAATAAAAAATAAAAAACTCTAGGATGAGCCCTGGCCACATGTGTAGTTCAGTGGTTAGAGTGTCTGACCACACACTGAAGGTCAACAGCACATACCTGGGATGCAGATTCGATCCCCATCCCCAGTGGAGTATGTGTGGGAGGCAACCAATTGATGTATCTCTCTTACATTGCTGTTTCTCTCTCCCCCCACCCTCCTTTCCACTCTCTCTAAAAAAAAAAAAAATCAATGGAAAAAAATATCCTTGCCCTAACCAGTTTGGCTCAGTGGATAGAGTGTCAGCCTGCGAACTGAAGGGTCCCAGGTTCAATTCCAGTCAAGAGCATGTACCTTGGTTGCGGGCACATCCCCAGTAGGGGGTGTGCAGGAGGCAGCTGATCAATGTATCTCTCTAATCGATGTTTCTAACTCTCTATCCCTCTCCCTTCCTCTCTGTAAAAAATCAATAAAATATATTTTTTTAAAAAATATCCTTGGGTGAGGATTAACCAAAAACAAACAAAAAACCTCACACAACTCTAGGTTGAAGACAGTGGGGCCTCTGCTGCAGCTGGCAGGGCCTCTCCCATCAAAGGCCTCAACACAGCAGCAAACTCCAGCCCCCCGACTTGCCCAGCACCTGTGACCAGACCCCCCACCCCCACTCCAACACCTGGCGCTAGAAAGCAGGGCCAGCCCCTGTGAACAACACAGCGTGACCAGTTTCACATCCCCTTTATCACCATGCAACTCAACGGCCGTTCTTTCCTGCTCAAACCATGCTAACCCATGTCATTCTGCTTTAGGCTTAAAAAAACCCCATAAGCTTCAGCTCTCACCTATGGATTTTTTTTTTTGACATGCCTTTAAACAGGACATTTTAAAAATACTTAATTTAGGTACCTGTAGCAGATCTTCACTGAGGACTTCTGTTTTCTCAGCTCTGTGGGGAAAATTAAAGTTCAGAGTTAGAGATCCAGAAATGAAAAGCAACTCAGGACAATTAATAATTATTACCCCAAAATTTAAAACAAAACAGGCAGAAATGAATGTAACAAGCGGAGAAATTCTACCAGTTTTTACATCAGAGGACAACTTAAGCAAAGCCTGTTGTTTTTTTACTACAATCCAAGTGCCATTTGGACTCCTGACTCAAATAGTGATTTAAACCAAGCCACTTAACAAACCTACCAAGTCTCTTGGAAATAAACAGGGACATTTCTAAGAGAAAGGAAAAAGTCTGTTGCAGTCCTCAGCATTGGGGAGTGGCAGAGGAAGGGACAGCAATGAACCCGGAATTCTGACCCTTTGTAAAAGATACATTGCAGAATGGAAGTGCTTATCTTGCCCAGGAACTATTGCAAGAAAAGGAAAAGCCATGAACCCAGAAAATGAATGGAATCCACTAAAATGACCTAAAAACATTGCCGGCCCAGAAGAGTGCCAGCTGCCACCAGTATGGTGGTGCACACCCCCAGCCTACACGTAAAACCGAGATTGCCACAGAGGTCTCCAATACCCGCTGCCACAGCAGTGCCCACTGACTTGGATGGCCACGGGAGTGGCTCCTCACCAGTTTCTGCAGGAAACCGAACTCTGATCTGACTCCAATATCTCCCAGGTCTAGAGGAGCAGGGCCTGCAGCAGGGCAAGGCCCTGGCTCCCGAGGAGGCCAACTCTCAGCTCTCTGAACAGGCCCTGCAAGCAGCAGACCAAACTATGCCAGCCTAGAGCTTACCAGCATGCAGGGCCAGGCGTGCTGAAGTGCCAAACACAGGTAGTCACGCCAGTTAGGAAAGTGGAGGCCAGGGCTCAGCTGGCCTATGAGCTCAAGGAACCAGCCTCAAAAAGAACCCCAGCAGTCAATTAACAAGGACAGACCTGTCATGAGGCCGCCACAGCTTCCCGCCATGCACCTGCGCCCCATAGCCTCTCCCTGTCTCTAGCAAAGCACCTCCAGGGACTGTGGGACTTGGACAGGGTCTTCTCTGGCCGACACCCAGGGACCTGAGCTGGGCCCTGCACACTTTGGCAGAACCGCTGCACCTCTGCCCTCTGCGAGGGTAAGTGTACACACAGGAAACTCCCAACTCCCATCAGCACACAATGGACCCTGAACAACAAGGATTAGGAGCAGCAAATACCCCGACAGCCAGAAATGCAGACAACTTTTCACTCTCCCAAAGCTCACTAACAGCCTACTCAACCAGAAGCCTTGCTGTAACAGTTAACACATACTTTGTATGTAATATGTATTGTATACTGTATTCTTGCAATAAAGGCAGAGAAAGAATATACATTTTTAGTATTTACTAGTATTAAAAAAGATCTTTAAATAAATGGGCCTGTGCAGTTCAAACCCGTGTTGTTCTAGGGTCAGCTGTATTCATAAGTTCAAAAGAAGAGATTCAGAGCAAGTATGTCCTCTTATGAAATGAACTTATTTTATATATTTATTTTTTAATATATTTTTATTGATTTCAGAGTGAGGAAGGGAGAGGGAGAAAGAGATGGAAACATCAATGATGGGAGAGAATCATGATTGGCTGCAGCCTGCAGACCCCACACTAGGGATGGAGCTTACAACACGGGCATGTGCCCTGACGGGGAATCGAACCGTGACTTCGTGACTTTGATGCTCAACCACTGAGCCAGGCTGGCTGGGCAGAAATGAACTTATTTCAAAACTGTAACCAAAGAGGAGGGAAGCGCGTGTTACAATCCCAGTGTGGGATGTCAGCAGGAGTGTGCTGGGATTCACACAGGAGAACCACTGCGTGCAACCCTTCCTAGCTCCTTGTTCAGGGGCCTCACACTGGTAATTTGAAAAGAAAAAGAAAAAACAATGCAAATAAGCGCAAACAATACAAATCAGGGTTTTTGTGGGATAGGAGGGGATTCTGATGTTAAAACACTTATGGGCACAGCACTGCAATAGCCACACACACAAAAAACGCAAGTATTAACTTCAGAAAAAAAACCCCAGAAAGTCCATCAGAAAGATAATCATAATACACTACTATGCTCACCTTCAAATAATTGATTTGCTGTGATAACGAATAGTAATAAATCCAAACATTGTAATGTAACTGTATTGGCAAGATAGGGAGCAGAAGCAGAGAGGAAGGTTACACAAGAACCCTAAACCATCATTTATCATAAGAGGTCAATAAATTATACCTAAACTTGATAACTCAAAGGGTAGCAGTTCACACATATTGATAAACATGAATGAGTAAATGCCGGAATAAACAGCTACAATGTGAAAGGAGCTGCCTCTCTGGTTGGGGAATCTCAACTCGGAGAGTGGAGTGTGTGGGGGAGAACCCACTCTACTTTGTGATAAGCCTTCTATGATATTTGACTTTCTAAACTACACAGATACATAGTTTCACATTTTAAAAAATAATGTTAGTTACATTTTCAGGTGACATGCTTGATCTGATTGTAAGTGAAGTGTAACTACTTTAAAGCACTGGGTCCAACCGCCAACCTACAAAAGTACAACAGAACACATACCTCAGAGTATCCAAAACACAAGGCAAATCAGCATTATTTTCCCACTTACAAATTAGCTACTGGACCCTTTGCTTTAAATTTAGAGCCTTTTACCTCAAAAAGGTATCTGGAGGCTGAAAAATATATGAAAATGTGTACACGCTGTTCAAAAATAAATTTGCACTATTTCTCCTGCCTTTGTGGACACTGTATATTGCATTGATAAAATTTTAGCAAGATTTCCAATGCATCTTCTTAACCAGATTTTAGGGCTTACTGAAATTATTTAAAGTTACCTATAATCAGAAGAGATTACTTTTTCTCCCAGCTTTACTGAGTATAATTGACAAACAAAACTATATCTATTTATAGTATACAATGTGATGATCTGATTTACACTGTGAAATGATTACCACAAACTCTCTGTCACCTCCTACAGTTACCCTTTTTGTTCCAGTTGTAAGAATGCTTAGTAAACTTCCAGTATATCACACACTATTACGAGCTGTGGTCACCATGCTGTACATTAGATCCCAGAACTTACTCATCTTACAACTGAAGGTTTGTATCCTTTGACCAACATCTCCCCGTTTCCCCACTCCCTAGCTCCTGGCAACTATGATTGTACTCTCTGTTTCAATGAATTCATTTTTATTTTTATTCCACATGTAAGTGAGATCATAGTTTTTGTCTGTGTCTGGCTTATTTCACTTGTATATGTCCTCCAGGTTCACCATGTTGCAAATGACAGGATTCCCTCTTTCTCGTGGCTGAGAAATATTCCAGGATGTGGCGTGTTCCATCTTTGTCCTTTCATACAACGGTAGGTCATTTTCACAGCTTGGCTATTGTGAATAATGCTGCATTGAACATACAAGTGCAGATATCTCTGAGATACTGATTTTATTTCCTTCAGATATATACCCAGAACTGAGATTGCTGGACCATGAATAAGGTAGTTCTATTTTTAATTTTTTGAGGAGCCTCCATACTGTTTTCCATGGTGGTTGTACCAATTTACACCAACAGTGTAAAAGTGTTCTAATTTGTCCATATTCTAACATTAGTTATTTGTCTTTTTGATAACAGACATCCTAACAGGTGTGAGGTGATATCTCACTGTGGATTTTCATATACCTGTTAGCCACTTATCTATCTTTTTTTGAAAAATGTCTGCAATCATGCGCCCTTTAGAAAAATGTCTACAATCATGCCCCGCATAATGGTGTTTTGGTTAACAAGAGACAACACACACACACACACACACACCGGTAGTCCCATAAGATTATAATGAAGCTAAGAATTCCCATTGCCTGCTGATGCTGTACCATCATGATGCTGTAGCCATTGCGATGTAGTTGCATAAAGGTTGCAAAAATCAACAAGGCTGTGGTGGAGATGGCAATAACTTAAACCTGGGTGTGGAAGAGGGTGACACAGAAGAGCTCGGAGAGGTGGCTCCGGAGGAACTGACTAATGAGGAGTTGTTGGAACTGAACAGGAATACAGCTGAAGAGGAGGCAAGAGAAAAGGAAACTGCAGAAGAAAAAGAGCCCCAAGGAAAGTCATAGTGAAGGGTTCGATTCAGCAGATGTTTTGGCAGACCTCAACCAGCTCTTGAAAATGTTTTAAAACATGGACCCCAACACTGAAAGGTTTTCATTAATAGAGAGGGAATGTTCATGGTACATTATCTTCTAACAAGCAAATCTAGGATGAAAAAACAACAACAAACAAACCAAGCAAAGCACCATGGACCTACTTCTGAAAAGTGACACTGCCTGGCAGAGAGCCAGGGGCAGGTGCTTTGGGAGGTGCTCCAGAAGAAGGCATGGTTATCACAGATGACAGCTCCATGCGTTACCACACCAAACACTTCCAGTGGGCAGGAAGCGGAGGTGGAAGAGGTGATCCTGGCCCTGTGTAGGCCTAAGCTAATGTGTGTGTTTGTGTCTTCGGGGTTTTTTGTTTTTCTTTTTTTAAAATATATTTTTATTGATTTCAGAGTGGAAGGGAGAGGGAGAGAGAGATAGAAACATCAATGATAATAGAGAATCATTGATCAGCTGCCTCCTGCAAGCCCCCCACTGGGGATGGAGACCGCAAGCTAGGCATGTGTCCTGACCGGGAATCAAACCGTGACCTCCTGGTTCATAGATGGATGCTTAGCCACTGGGTCATGCTGACAGTGTCACAACCATTACATCATTGCCAAGACCAATTTCAAAAGGCTTCCCTGTTTTCTTTGAGGACTTTTAGGGTTTCAGGTCTTACCTTTTACTCTTTAATCCATTCTGAGTTAATTTTTGTGAGTGGTATAAGGTAGGAGTTCAGTTTCATTCTTTTGCATGAAGATATCTATTTTCCAGCACCATTTCATTAAAGAGACCATCCTTTCCCTATTGCATATTCTTGGTGCCCTTGTCAATAGTTGACCATATAT